TTCTTTTTGTTAGTGGTACTGTTCTCTGTAGAAATAGTGGCAACTGGGGAATGTGGTCATCTGTTTGGAGTCTTTAAGCTCTCTAGCAGTAGTTAACATGTATTTTACTTAATTTAAAATTTAGGCAGTTATCTCTTTTGTGGTGACTTGTTCTCTTTTACTGCTTGACTATCCTTAAACTGAGAAATGTGCCTAGATACTTATTTCCAAGGGACTACTACTTATTCAGTTATTACCTACTTTCTAAATTTAAAGTTGTGATAATACTGGAACCATATTTTGAACTGCTAATAAATGCTTAATTCAGACTGTGAACTAAATCATTTAAATCCTGTTTTGTTAGGATTATTTTGATTTATTCATGTTGCTACAGCTGGGCAGGCAGGTTTGTAATAGGGCTAGTTTATCACCAGGTTTTGTTTAATTCTGACCATCGTTCTTTGTGTTTTCTTCCTGGTTTGTCTTTCTTGAGCACACACATGGCATTATTCTGTGTTTCACCTAGTGCCTTCTAAAGAAGTGAGTGAGGTAATTCACTCACTGGAAGTAGGAAATTTCAGAGGTTCTTATGAAAGCTGCTAAAAAAGCAAAACAAACAAAAAAAAACCAAACTATCAAACCAAAACAAAAACCCCAAACCACCACTACCACAACAAAAAAACAACAAACTAAAACAAAAACCTCAAACCAAAACCCCCAAACAACAACCAAAATAGCCCCAAAATAACAACACAACACAAACAAACCCTAGAATTGGAGAGATATCACAACTCACAAAGGTCTTTATAAGCACGAACACATAAGTCTGATCCTTAGGATACACATGGAAGGAAGGGAAAAACCAACAACCAGGCAGGCAGGCAGGCAGGCAGGTTGGGCGGGATGCTGCATGTTTATAATCCCAGCACTATAATAGTTGAGGCAGGTGTATTCCTAGGCCTTACTGGCCATCCTAGCCTGCTTGGGGAGTTCCAGAACACTTGCAAATGGCATTTTTGGAATGACACCTGAGGCAGTCCCCTAACCTCCATGCATATATCCCTTATTCATGAAAGCTCTTAGAATCCCTGGTCTGAGAGAACTAGATTTCCTCAGGCCTCTTTCCTGGTGTTTGTTAAAGGCAATACTGCCCTCTGCTGTTCAGAAGCTAATTGCAGCAACTATATTCCCCAGAATTACTGCTTACACTCATGCTTTAGACTTTAAAATCTTTACAAGTAATACATAAAATTTAAAATTTATTTTACTTGCTGGCTTGAAGCCCATTGTATCAGGTAATTTGGAGTTATTTTTACATTAAAGTTTATCTACTACCACCCTAATAGGAATAATCTAAGGATTTTTCCTTTATATTTTTAAAAATAACACTTTCCTCTGGTTATAAGGAATGTGTTTTTCATTCTTACCTTAAAAATATAGTCCATTGAATCTCTGTCAACTCTTAAAAGCTAAATCATTCTTTCACCTTTGTAACTGATGTGTCGTTTTTCATTTCATTCTGAATATGAATCGTAATTTCTTTTGCCTGTGTTTTTTCTTCACAAGCACGCCTTTCATATAATGATAGAGGTAAGATGCATTGCTGTTTGTTTTATGGTTGTGAAAGCTGTGGATGCACACAAAACATTTGTCCTTAGAGTTCTGTTATTGTTGCTTTACCTGGCATCCTTTATAGTTTATCTACATTTTGTTATAAAAGTCCCCTCTTTTGTATCCAAATATTATTCATTTGACACAGTAAAAACATTTGGTTTTGAAGGATTGTTAACAGTAGTTATACTTCTCTAAGGTAGGCTGTAGAAAGAACTGTTTCTTCTGATTCGAAGGTAAAACCTAATGGGGCATTAGCCCTAGGAACTCAGTATTTCTAATTTTAATAGTATTTCATGTGTTTAAATGTCAGCCTGTACTCATTTGAATAAGAGATGACTTTCTGGTCTAGCTCAGTATCTTTTAACTTAAAATCTATGTTTACCAATGTCATCTCTAGCTAATGAATTCACTGCATAAGTAACACCTTTGTCAAATCTGTTGCTGTCTTGAAGGTTAGGACTGTTTGTATTAGAATGTACAGTTAACTCAGAAATAAGAATTGATGACAGATGGCTTTGCTGCCCCTTTAAAGAGTGCCTCAGTATGAGTATACTGATACTACTGTGTAGGTGCTTTGGACAGTCAGAATTTACCAGTAACTGCAATTTCAGCATATTTTCTGATGTCTTGAGAAGGAATGCATAGTCAGAGCCACTTATGATGTGCATCTTCTTAGTTTTATGTAGTGAATGAATGGTTGTTGAAAGAGTACTGGGAACTTGAGAGGAGAATTTCTGTCTTCCAAGAGTTTCTGTGTAGCACAACAAAGCTGTGCTTCACGAATGCTATCAGTTATGAAGTGTAAGTTCTCATTTGTTGCCTTAGGGGTTCATATGTTTAATGATAGAAGTCTTAATTCCTAGAAACAAATACCAAGGTGTTCTGAATAAATTACTCCTATGGATACTAATAAACTGAGAGTAATTTTTAATATTCTTTATACAGTAATTAAATCCTAGATTTTAGAGATTTATTTAAAACTTCATCTTAGTAGCCTCTTGTTAAGAAAGCAAAAAGGTATATCAATGATTAATATTTTGTATTGTGTAGTTATTTTTATTATGAAGCTGCGTTTTAAGCCCAGTCTTAAGGATTTGTAAGTATTAAGTTGTAGTTAAGAGTACATCTCAGAAAGGTTTGATGTCGGTAAGAGTGAGCCTTTGTAGATGACTTTCTTCCTTTTTGAATGTTGGCCAGTATTTTGGCTTTTTATTTCAGTTTTTTATACTGTTAAGAAAATTTTACAGTTATATGTTTATAGCAATTAATGGAAAAATTATGAGTAAAATTGTAATATTGAATGTTGATCCAAGATTTTTCTCTGAGACAAAAGTATGTTAAGAAATTTACTAAGGAAAGCCTTGTGAGTCTGTAGGACCTTTGAAGTTTATCTTTCTATCTAGAAAACATTTAATATACTTTACACTACTGTTATATTAATCTGAGATACTGAAGATGTGATCTTAGTCCTGTTTTATGGACTAGATTCATGTCTGTAGTTGGTGTCCTTCTGAACACAGAGTAGATGTGTGTATTATCTCTCGAGACATTATTGGTCTGTGGCTGTGGTATCCACTTCTTTTCTCTACTTTTCAGTTAGTGTCTGAAGATTGTAGTATTGGTGCTTTGAAAAACTGATTATGGCCATTTCTATTTAGTTATTTCTTTATAAACTTGTACTTATTCTTGGACTTTGCAGATGAGATAGTTTTCTTTGCCTTTGGTAGATTAGTGTTAACCTTTTCTTCTCCAGTCCCTTCAGTCAGCCTGTTCCTGTCAGTAGAATCATAGTACAGGCAGAGATGGTTGTAGAGTGGTAAGGGAAGATATGCTTCCCACAGCAACTTTCCAGAGCCTGCTTTCCTGTAGGGGTTGTAGACAACCTCTTTAGTCCATCACTCTGCTAAATGGAAGCACTTTGGCTTTACTAACCTTATATTTTTAATTTGAGAGGAGCAGCAATTTTTTAGACATTTGTAAACAAACACGACTTCAGAATGAATCACAGGAAGTCTTTCTTCTGCCTTTTAAAAATAGGAGTTTTCAAGCCTTTAAGGGACTGCCTACAAGTTGCATTCCTTTTTCATACATATTTGGAACTTTTTTTCCGCTGGAGTAATTCTGATGCTTGATAGAAAGTTCATAGATTTCCTAACAGCCTATTGGCTGAAGGATGCCTACAAGGAGTACTAAAAGTTTTGGAACATTAAAGACCTAAAAAGGGAGAAGAAAGTTAGGGTGAGATGTACTGATCTTGGATTTAAAAATATCATTTTTAAGTATATGAAGTACCACCAGGGGCGCCGCCACAAAAATTTTAGTTCATTCTCACAAAACTTAAATAGCCATTGAAACATTTCTGATGCTTTTTCTCTTGGCTTCCAGAAGCTTCTTACATCTTGCTTTAGTTGCAGATAGTAAACTGATAGAACAGTTTGAGCAAAGGGTTGCTAGTCTATTGGCGTAGAGATTTTCCTTGCCTTCCACATTTTCATGTAGTTTCCTGGCCCTATTTTAAAGATCCATCATTGTAGCACTCCTGTCTTTTATTCACCACTCCATCTTTCCAATTATGACTGTCACTTTTCTAGATTCTTTATACTTTGTTTTATTTTTCTTTTCAATTATCCTTAGAACATGATTTTTATTTCTGGTCAGTTTGGGGGAATAATAGTTAAAGGGATGAACTTTTAGTATCTTGAAAAGTAAGAATGAACAAACAAAGTTTGTCTATAGAAACATTTCTTTCTTCTTTTTGGGTGGGGGGCTTGTTTATTGTTTTTGTTTTTGAGACAAGGTTTCTCTGTATAGCCCTCTCTGTCCTGGTACTTGCTCTGTAGACCGGAGTGGCCTCGAATTCACAGAATCTTCCTGCCTCTTGTCTCCTGAGTGCTTGGATTATATACTTGTTTGAAATGATTGGACATTAAAGAAGAAAACAGTTAATGTTAGACAGCCACTAGAGAAAGTATTAGATTTTGAGATTTTTATTGTTGTTGTTTTTTTTTTTTGAGAAATGCTCATACTTTGCTGTTTTGATACTTTTAAAATTTGTATCCTTTAAGATAATATCAACTGGATAAAGCCAATGACATACTATTACGAGTGTTCTGAAATTCACGAACGTCTTGAGAACATTGGTTAGACTGTCTGCCTACTCTTTTTACCTTCTTTTCCTAAGTAGCAGCAGCACTGATGTTGTTAAACATTGCCTGCTTAGTGGTTCCCACTAATGCCCTAGCATCTACGTTCTCACAGGCTAAAAGTTAATGTCCCATTGACGTTACAGTCCCTCATGTGTTCATGGTCTCTGTTAGAGCATTCTTCAGTATAACCACCCTTTCCTCATTTCAGAATCAATGTCTTATATCCTACTTAGTTACAGTATTATTATTATTTACCTCTAGGACCCAGGACCACCTCCACCTTCCCCATTACTAGGGTTGAAGCCATTGCAGCTGTTAGAAGTGAAAGCAAGGGGGAGATTTGGTTGTGTCTGGAAAGCCCAGTTGCTCAATGAATATGTGGCTGTTAAAATATTTCCGATACAGGTATGTTTATTGAAGTTCTCTAATCTATCTACTTCTGTATTTTTAAAGCTGTAACTGGTTAGGACATTATAGCTCATCGACAGCCTGAAAACACAAACTTTCCATTGTAAAGTGATTGTTTGTGATAGTTGGGAAAGAAGTCTAGCCTGCCTGTGCTGCTGTCACAGCTGAGAAACGGAATGATTTAATGCAGAACTAGGCTTTGACGGCAGAATTGGAATCACAATACATGAACATGTAGTCAATCTTTTGTTAATAAAATCTAAAGTATTCCAGTCACAAAAATAAGCTCACTGTCTGGGTAGTTGTCTTGTTGTCTCTTTGACAAGACAGAGCAGTAGACTCTGTGCTTTACTTTAGAATTGGTGTTTGCAGTTACATGGCCAAACTTTGATTTCTTTTCATTGTACTTTTGAGTATTTATATGTAACTTTTTGTTTTTCGTCTTTTTGTTGGTAATTCCTCAGAGACAGTGATTTGGGTTGCAAAGTATTAGTTTACTTTGTTTCCCCTTCATTTCATCTGAACCCTCATGGCAGCCTGACCTGTCCCAGTCTCACAGTGCTGCTGCTTTGCTCATTGCTGGTAGACTTCAGGGTCTCATCTTCCCCTTGCTCTGGCAGTACACCCTTAGTACTGAAGTCTCAGCTACACACCCAGTCCCCATTGCTCCAGAGTTAGACACAAACAGTTTCCTTAGCATTCCTAGCTTTGACCTCCTCCCCTCATCTGCAGCCTGTCTTTACCTAGTAGCAGAGTGGCTGTTTTAGAGAGAAGCATTCTGTTGTGCTAAGATTCATCATAAGATTCATATTTTCATGAGTGAGGAATCTTAACAATAAGAAAAAGATACTGGATATTAAGAGTAGAAACAACAGCAGTCATTTTATCAAAACCTTTATTGACAGAGTAATAATTAACATGTTGTATGTTCATATGTTATTTAGATATAAACATAAAGTACTTTATCGACCAATAGTGCAATTATTCTTTTACTTCACTGGAAAAATGAATGATTTTATAAAAGGAAGATGAAAGGCCAAAATTTAAACTAATCTTGGATACAGAGATTTCCTTACCATATAATACAGTGTAATGCAACTTAGTGAAAAGAAAACAATCTTTTGTAAGGAAGTATACAGTTGACATAGGTCACTTGCAGGAATGAGTAATTGATAATTAAAAAAAAAAAAGCATAAGGTTCTGTTAACTTAGGGAGCTGGGTAGGGCAGGCCAAAGAGAGAGTGCTCTCTAAGGTTCTCCCTAAATGTATCTTTCAGGGACCTGACTGAGATGATTGTGACTGGTAGCATAAATAACTTCACACTGTATAATGTTTGAAGTAACTTGTAAGCAGAATATGTTGCTATTTAAGATACAGAAATGTGGTCATTTTTGATGAATCCTTGTGTTTATAAACTTAGCCACATAGAAAAGTAGATTTTGAGGGAATGGGAAAGAATAAGGATTTATTATGGATTATTGTTATTACCTGTCAGATTTCTTTTATAAAAAAGTAACAAAAGACCACTGTACTAAACTCATTTTGTTTTTGGACCACTTGTATTAGCTTGTTTTGTTGTGGTCACTTTTAGAACTTACTCTAGTAAGCTCAGTGTGATTTATTTTCTTGTCCTGTGTTCTTACTGTGCTTTTGATATTTTACTCTAGGACAAACAATCCTGGCAGAATGAATATGAAGTCTATAGTCTACCTGGAATGAAGCATGAGAACATACTTCAGTTCATTGGTGCAGAGAAAAGAGGCACCAGTGTGGATGTGGACCTGTGGCTAATCACAGCCTTTCATGAAAAGGTATAACGACTGACTACTTGAGTTTAGTTACGCTGGACTTGGCTTACCTAGTGTTAACTACTGTATTTCAAGAGAACAGTATATTATCACAGTTGATTAATATTTGACACAAAATATATATCACATGAATAAAAATATTAAAAAGTGACTCTAAAGGAAAGAAAAGCTTTTTACCTCTCTAATCATAGAAAAGCTTTAGTCTTTGATTTCCTGTGCTGCAATTACTTCTCCTAGGGGTACTTTAGAATAGACAGTGCTTATGGTTTTCATGTATTACTTATGATACAGTTAATTTTATGAATCTCACTTTGTTTTAGCTTTAATTTTTGTCTTATAATTTTTTAATGATGAACACAGAGTCACTAACTTGGAGTTATTACAAAAACACACTTGCCATTCCATCATTTTGCAGTTAAATTTAAAATAACAAACAAACAAACAAACAAACAAGTCTTCAGTGTAGCACAGGCTGGTTCCAAACTCATTTTTGTGTCCTAGCAGCCTCCCAGGTACTGTGGTTGTGGGTTTGCATTACTGTGGCCAGCTAAGATGCTTGGTTTTTATGTCATCATTGCTTTGCCTTTATATTTCACTAAGTATTTGACCATAATGATCATAATATCTCTAGAGAAAAGGGGTGTATGTGTGCATGCGTGTATGTGTGCATGTGTATCATTATAAGTAAGATGCACATGTGGAGGCCCTGGGTTATGTTGTCAAGTGTCTTCCTCAGTTGCTTTCATGGTTTTTGTTTGTTTTTGTTTTTTTGTTTTTTCCCTTGAGGCAAGGTTTCTTGCTGAACCTGTAGCTCACTGATGCTTCCAGGGATCTTACCTGTGTCTGTGTCCTCCTAGCACCGAGCTGAAGATAGGTCTAAGGCTCAGCACTCAGGTCCTGATGCTATGTGACAGGCACTTTACCAACTAAGCCCATTTCTTCACGAATAGTCTCTATGTTAATAGTTATTCATGTTTTCAATGTAGTTCTATAATGTTAGTATGTTTCACCTTAGAGATTAGGTTTTTTGTCTAAGATTTTTAACTAGTCCGTCTTTTTTTTTTTGTTGTTTGCTTGTTTTTAACCTCCCAAAGTCAAGGAAATTAACTTATTTTTGTAGTAACCGTTAAAAAATCAGTCTTTTGTGATTGAATGTTCATTACTATGAGTTGAAAGGAAATTTGAACAGCTCTATAGAGTTTATTTATTTGAGATGAATGTGTTGCTTTCATATCCAGAGAAAAGTTTCTGTTTATGTAAAACTTTAATCAAGAGCTTATGAGTATTTTCCTCCCACCTCTCCTTTCTTTAGGGCTCACTGTCAGACTTTCTTAAGGCTAATGTGGTCTCTTGGAATGAACTTTGTCATATTGCAGAAACCATGGCTAGAGGATTGGCATATTTACATGAGGATATACCTGGCTTAAAAGATGGCCACAAGCCTGCAATATCTCACAGGTAGACAAGATTTGTATTGTCTTTCCATCAAACTCAAGTGTTTACCATTTAAACTTTTAATTCTTGGAGTAAAGTTTATTTTTGCTGTGGTTATTCAATCATATTTGAAGAGGCAAAGATTTTCATGTTTTTAAACTTAGGTTTGAGATCATCTAGGCTGTGTTTTTGTTATGTGCATGTTAATCTCATTTATAAAGTCTAATGATCCCATGTTTCAATTTGTCTAATTTCTGAAATTGTGTTTGAGAATAAAGGTATATTTTCTCTATTTCAAAGGAGAAATGATTTTAACTCAAAATTTTGATTAAAGACAATTTTTAGTATATACACAGTGATAGAATTAAGGATAGATTAAGTATTTCTTTGTCTTTTGGATGAGTATACATTCATTCCTGAGCTAAAGTAGAAGCGATCAGTCAAGAGGAGACAGCTGTTCAGTAAAAAATTAGTACACATCTAGTGAAGAAACTGTTAGAATCTTAAAAAGGAAAAATGTTTGTTTTTGGGGAATAAAATTAGTTTGCTATTATTTACCTTCCTTGGAAAAATATGGGATTGAGTTGTCTTCTATTCAGTTTTAAAATACCTGTTTTAAAAGTAGGTATTAGCATATTGATTTAGCAAATGTGTAGTTGAGTGTCACCAGAATGGTTTTGCAAATAGTGACTTCTTTAGAAAGACCTCTCCTTTCTTTCATCTTTATGAGTCCCCCAAATTACTAGTTATAAGGCCCTTTAAAATGTTTGATACTGAAACCAGTTGGTTTCTGGAGCATTTGACTCTACCTTCATCCTTTTGTAGGACTGAATGACTACTTCTAAGTGTACCTACCGATGAGAGCTTAGACGTAGTCTCTAGAGTTGTCTTTACGATGAACCACATGAGGCAGATGTGTAGAAAGAATACAGTCCTGACTTACAGCTGAGAGACTTTTCAAAGTACCAGCTCTGCGTTATGGTAAAAGGCTTCAGTCCTGTATTTGCAGAAGTGCTTTCCTTGAAAAATGGCTATGCAGTTCAAGGACTATTGCAAGGAGAGGGCATTCAAAATTGGAAGTCTTTATCAAAGACTTTATCAGATTTTAAAAATTTTCTTGTTCTGAAGTTTAGGTTCTATGGGAATTTGTAGCTAAAAGATCTGAAGTGTGTATTACCTTAAAGAAAGAGTAAATTCTGTCATTATGAGGGAGTAACAGAGATGAAATATATTTCTGGAATGACTATCCAAGTGCTTTATGGAGAGGATTCCTTCTTGCTCCTTTTAGGACAGGTTTGTTACTACATCCATGTGCTTTAGGCCAGGTTGAGACTCTGCTTAAGCATCTTAACTCTTTCTTTGGTCTTCTTAGTTTTAAGTAACTTAATTTTTATAGCACATTCTTCTTGCATTCAGTAGAAAAATTTAAAAGATAACTTGCTTAAGACATTTTATTTTTCTGTTTAAAGGGACATCAAAAGTAAAAACGTGCTGTTCTTCTTGCATTCAGTAGAAAAATTTAAAAGATAACTTAAGACATTTTATTTTTCTGTTTAAAGGGACATCAAAAGTAAAAATGTGCTGTTGAAAAACAATCTGACAGCGTGCATTGCTGACTTTGGGTTGGCCTTAAAGTTTGAGGCTGGCAAGTCTGCAGGTGACACCCATGGGCAGGTAAGAACATCAGCTATAAAGCGGGAGCAGGACTGAGCACATGATGCTTTTGTAGACCAGCACTAACTTGATCTAAAGTTGTTGGGGTAGTCATTGAAGCATCATCTAATAACGAGTGATACGTTTTGGTTTGAGAAGGCAGTATTTTTACACTGTTGTGTAATTCAGGTTTAAGCAAGCACTAGAACAGCATTCAGCTGTGATAGTATTGTTTTTTTGTTTTTGTTTTGTTTTGTTTTTTAAAAAAACAATTGGTCAAACAAGAATCCAGTTCTAAAGAATTTATCTTTAGGGAATTCTTACATTGGTTAATTCCTCATCCTAACAGTGGAGGATAATGGGTCACTTCTTACTACAGTTTATTAAGTTCTCATTTCTCTCTATAACAATTTATTGCTCTGACTCTTTATTGATTCAGTTACAATTTAATTTTTTAAAAAAGTTCTTACTAGAGTTCAGAGTTTCTGAAAAGGCCAGAGCAAGTTGTCTAACTCCAGTTGTGGTCTGCACAGGTATATTTAGCATCCTTTAGGAAGGTCAAAGGAGATACAGAACCCATGTATTTTATCCTCAGAAAAACCATGAGGCTAGGAGAGGTGCTACACTTGTATAGCTTCACTCTTCACAAGAACAGGTTAGGAGCAGGAGACATGGTCCAAGGATTAAGAATGCTTACTTCCTTTGCAAGAACCAAGTTTGTTTCCTGGCTCAGGCTGCTCAGATGTCTGTAAGACCAGTTCCAGGTAACCCACCATCCTTTAATGAGCTCTGTGGGCACCCACAGCCACATAAGCACATACATCTTCCTGTCTGTTCAATTAAAAATAAAAGAAATAGTTTCTTAAAAATACCTTGAAGTGTGATATTTCCTACAAAGTCAAATGATTCTTTCAAGGCTTTGCCCTTATTATTTCTGTCTTTCAAATTATTCAAGTTATTTGATTATTTCTGAGTTCTTTTATCTCATCCTATATTCCATCAATCCCCAGGAACATAGCTGTGTTCAGTGTCATAGTATACTGACTTGTGGCAATGTTAATGAACAGTCTCACATTTGTTTCAGTGTAATGTCAGCAGTTGTAGAGTATTTGAAAAGCTGACATGTTTGGGGAGAGCACTACTAAGAATGCAGTAGCCTAGAGATAACGTTTTGTGGTTATTCTATGATGAACAATCATAGGACAATATGTATGGAACAGCTTTATCTTTTGGTATATAAGAAAACTAATAACTTAAAAAAAACACCCTGACTCATGCCATTTTTTAAATGTCCTTACAATTGGATTACAAGTTTAGGCGAAATAAGAAATTGCCTACATGAGTAAACAGTTTCTCTGCTGTCTACCTTTAGTCATAAAAGAGCATATCTTAAACTAAAGTCAGATAATCTGTAATAGTAAAAGAAGTGAAAAAGTAGGCTTCTGACATTCAGAATATAGTCAAAATGTTTGTGCAGAACAGGAAAAGCCAGAAAGCTACTTTATGTGTTCTCATAAAATGAGTTAAAAGTTGAACTTAATAGTTTCACTAATCTGTCCTTCTTTTTGAAAACTATTGGTCTATGTGCACTTAACTGCTTAAGTGTTGGTCAGAGTCACTTGTCCTCACCTCAGGGTGAAAGCCTGATGTCAAAGCTGCCTCCTAGCTCTAATTAGGTATAGACTAGTCTACAATTCATAAAATGCATTTATACTGAAATGGCAGTCAAGACCAACTATCACTAGCTGCCCTAGGTTAGTGGCCACAGTTAAGGTACTGCAAAATAACAAATTGTTGGGGACAAATGTAAATAAAGAACTAAGAAGAATTTATGAGTAAATAAGATTCTTTTAAAAACTAGAATAAAAAAAAAATCTCAAACAATATGTGAAGTGTTCTGTTTCCTCCACTCCATCCTTCTCCCAGCAGACCATTGCTTGGTTCCTTGTGATTAGATCTAGAAAGGGAAGGAAAGCCCTGTGAGCCTGTCTGCTGAGAGGATCCAGAAATCATTGTATTATATGTCCTATGGTGTTACAATTATAATTCACCTTTCCCTGGATAAATAGACCATATTTGATTTTGTTTCTACAAAACCATAGACAAAACATTAGTTCATAAAGTCATTGAGGGAGTACTCTTTGATTTAAAAATCTTTTTCAGGTTGGTACCCGGAGGTATATGGCTCCAGAGGTGTTAGAGGGTGCTATAAACTTCCAAAGGGACGCGTTTCTGAGGATAGATATGTACGCCATGGGATTAGTCCTATGGGAACTGGCTTCTCGTTGCACTGCTGCAGATGGTAAGGGAAAAAGTAAATAACTACATTTTCTTTTATGAACTGTACAAGGTGGCAGAAGAGACAGACGGCAAGGTGAACTTGGAGGGGCTGGGTATGAAAGGAACGGGCCTTGACACTTTGGAGATAGAAGTAGGTTAGATGATAGCACATACTAAAAGAAAATACATTGCTTCAGAACTTGAGTGTTAATTCTTCCTAGCAAACTGTGACTTGGTAGGATGGTGACATAGGACTGTTGTTAAGTAATACATAGTTAAGATGATAATATACCTTCTGGAGAATGAACTCTAGAGTGAGGGGAGTGTGAGCCATTAGTCCTAGACCTGGTATATAAGGCATTCAAGTAACTATAATGAGGTGCTGAGAAATGGAAGGTATGGTTTAGGGATTAAGAAGAGTTACTTTTTTAGGAAAGGAGTTTTAGGGGATTTGTAGAGTAAGAGACAAGGTTATATGCTAAGTTTTCTTAAATGCCTTGTATGTGCTGTAAAATACTTAAGAGCAGGCTATGTCACAAGGCAGAAATCAGGGCCAAAGGCAAGGTGAACCATAGTGATGAGTGCATTTAAGTTTCTGTCTAGTTGTTAGTTAAAATCCAGCAGTTCAAACTTTACCAATTTCTCGGAATCTTGTTAAAAATAAGCCTCTGGAGGCTGGGGAAATAGGTTGATTGTTAAGAACATTGGTTGCTCTTCCTTTGTGGGCGCCACTTATAGTTGTGGTGCACACGTGCAGGCAAAACCACCGTACACATTTTTAAAAAGAATCAGTAGTCTGGGCTGAGCAGTCTGTGTATTTTTATAAGCTATCATTGATTGGTGCCAGTGTCACTGACCGTGAACCAAACAAAGATTGAAATTCTAGCATGTTAGTACTAACACTGGACATACTAAGCAGCTATCCAAAGGTTTTCACAGGGAGGGTGAAATGGCTCAGTGGACAATTCTCATGACCTAATTTTGGTCCTGGGTCTCATATAGTGGAAGGTGAGAATCTACCCTTCCTTGCAAAGTGTCCTCCGATCTCTGTATGAATATTGTGGCATGCACATACAGGTACACACTAAGTGTAGCAATGAGATGGTGCCTAAAACACTGGTACAGGGCTGAGTCAGTGCCTCTTTCAGTTCAGGATTCTGTTTGAAGTGCTTGCTACATCTTTATACTGTGCACAAAGCTCATCTATGCACATCTGTTTCTCTCTAGTTAATGAAACTGTGCAGTAGTGACATGTTTGAGTGATGAGGAGAAAAGTACAGACTTCAGATAAATTTAGATTTCAACTCCACTTCTTAATAGTCACATACCTCTATCTTATTTACAAATTAGAGCAAATTCCAACTTCACTGGGAGATAAAATATGCACATTCATGTCTGATATCTGAAAAAAACAAGTTATGTCCCTGAAAACATTTTGTCATGAGTTATATTTTGACTTGATGGAAATTCTGGTTGAAGCACCTTTGTTTCTTGAATATAAAAATAAATAGCATTATTTATAAGTATAATAAATATGCTTGTGAGGGGACAGAAAATCAGAAAGTGTATCAGTTACTCAAGTGGTCATGTAGGGTGTTTCAGCATGCCGTAGATGTGTCCAATAGGTGGAGCACTAAGTTTCTAGAGGTGCTAACATGCTCAGAATGTTAATATGCTGATAGGAATTGTTGAAATGAAGAGGGATTCCCACCTTTGATTTCTAAATACCAACAGCTCTTTGTCATGGGCATTCTATATATTCTATAGACATGGGCATTCAGCATATGTATTCTAAAACAGCCTGGTAAGGCTGAATATGAAGATCAAGAGTTCAAAGCCAGCTAAACTCTTTAGTCTGACCCTGTCTTCAACAAGCAGCCATCAAAAACTCATAAAGAGACCTTTTGGTTTCTCATAAATTAGATTCTGGTCCCACCGTGATACAAGTACAGCTAGGAGTCATTTCTCTCCTTTCATTATCTAATACAGAATGGGAAAAGTGGTATACAGAATGTATTTTAAAGAGCTTGTACTAGTGAGGAATCATTTCAATAGATTTTCCTTTTTTTTACATTTCAGGACCTGTAGATGAGTACATGTTGCCATTTGAGGAGGAAATTGGCCAGCATCCATCTCTTGAAGATATGCAGGAAGTTGTCGTGCATAAAAAAAAGAGGCCCGTTTTAAGAGATTATTGGCAGAAACATGCAGTAAGTTTATACACTTATTTTCTATTTGAGATTTCAAGAAAACACTTTTAGGAGAATGATCTATCAATTCTATGAACATTTCTCTTCTGGGAAGGTGGTCTTCATACAGGGGTTTGTATCTAAGCTTAGAGGCAGAAAGCTTTGCCTGAAGTCACAGAGCCTTATAGAGAAGGCTCTTCTTACTTCAACAATCTAATTAAGTTCAAGTATCTCCTGTTTTGAAAGCTCCATGAGGAAACAAATGCCTGGCTCTTGAACCCATGGAAAGCTGGATACTTTTACCTTCTAATAAATGTCGTTTTAACACTTACTAAGCACTGAGTTTTCTCCATTCCATGAAGTCTGAAGTCATTTCTTTCAAGACTTCACTTTACAGTTAACAGCATAGAATTGTGCTGGTAATTTGGTGTTCCTATCAGTAGAAATCCAAATAGAAATAAGGAACTACACCTTGAAGCCAGAGATTTGATTCAAGAGTGGCCTTTTAATCTTAACTCTAAGGGAGAAAAGCTAGTATCAACTTAAGAAAATGATTATAAAAAACAAACACACAAAAATAACTTGTAACCCACATTAGACTTAGTTGTGAGTCTACTTGAAAAACTCAAATATTGAAATGCCTAGATTTATAAACATGGATTTTTGGAACTTAAAAACATATACCTGTTGTAAAGCACAAGTGCTTAGAAAGTGACTTATTTTAATGGTATGTAAAATGGCATTCAGTAAAAGTGAATGCAATGCTGCCATTTTACCTCATTCGCATGCTTGAGGCAGAAAGATCAAGACTGTGCGACAAAGGCTGGCTTGGATAATGCATCCGTTAAAAAGACCCAGAGTGGGTACTGGTCAGACTTTGCTCATCTTGAAATCATTGTCCATGGAAATAGCTATTTCATTATGACACTGTTAGCCTGTTTCCTTTCAGGAAACAATAGCTGTTAAGTTTGACTGTTCTTCTCCTCTTAGGGAATGGCAATGCTCTGTGAAACGATAGAAGAATGTTGGGATCATGATGCAGAAGCCAGGTTATCAGCTGGATGTGTAGGTGAAAGAATTACTCAGATGCAAAGACTAACAAATATTATTACTACAGAGGACATTGTAACAGTGGTCACAATGGTGACAAATGTTGACTTTCCTCCCAAAGAATCTAGTCTATGATGGTTGCACCATCTGTACACACTGAGAATTGGGACTCTGAACTGGAGCTGCTAAGCTAAGGAAACTGCTTAATTTTCTGTGTGAAAAGAGTAGAATGCCTCCGGGACATGTATGAAAGCAGCCCCTTGTGGAAAGCATGGATCTGGGAGACTTCACTGCATCGTTTGCAGCACAGATATGAAGGGGAGTCTAAGGGAAAAGCTGCAAACTGTAAAGAACTTCTGAAAATGTACACGAAGAATGTGGCCCTCTCCAAATCAAGGATCTTTTGGACCTGGCTAATCAAGTATTTGAAAACTGACATCAGATTTCTTAATGTCTGTCAGAAGACACTAATTCCTTAAATGAACTACTGCTATTTTTTTTAAATCAAAAACTTTTCATTTCACATTTTAAAAAGGGTAACTTTTTATTGCATTTGCTGTTGTTTCTATAAATGACTATTGTAATGCCAACATGACACAGCTTGTGAATGTGTAGTGTGCTGCTGTTGTGTGTACATAGTCATCAAAGTGGGGTACAGTAAAGAGGCTTCCAAGCATTACTTTAACCTCCCTCAACAAGGTATACCTCAGTTCCACGGTTGCTAAATTATAAAATTGAAAACACTAACAGAATTTGAATAAATCAGTCCATGTTTTATAACAAGGTATTACAAATTCACTGTGTTATTTAAGAAAAAAAAATGGTAAGCTATGCTTAGTGCCAATAGTAAGTGGCTATTTGTAAAGCAGTGTTTTAGCTTTTCTTCTACTGGCTTGTAATTTAGGGAAAACAAAGTGCTGTTTTTGAAATGGAGAAAAAAATATTGGTGTCAGCCGGGGGGGGGGGGCCCCCATATCCAGGTCCCAAAATATTGCATACTTAAGTAGTTCTTTTTTCTTTAAGGTGTGCTGTGTTTGGGAAAATCTGAAAACATAAAAGCATGATTTAAAATTTTTTAAGTGAGCTGTGACACTGGAAAGCTCTTCATTTTTCTTTTAAAATAGATTTTTTCCTATTTATATATGTTAAATGGTGGTGTATTTCTTCTTTTCACCGAACAGTGTGTGGGATATTCTTATCACTGTTTTATGATCACCTCAGGAAGTGTCATTACTCAGAATTCTTCACTCTGCTTCTAGACTTGTAACTTTATCACTGTAATGCGTGGTGCCATCTTGTCAGAGTAATATTTGATGTTTGTGATACGGAGAGAATTATCTTAGGATAAAGATAGTGACCTTTAAACACAGATTTCAGATATTACTGCTTTAAAATAAATCAGGGATAACAAGTTGAACTTATAATATGCAATGACATTAAGAGGTAACCAATGCTGGTCTAAGGAACACAGCTTAGCCTCCTCCCCAAATTACTTTTACAGCTAATTCTAGATAGTTCATGCCTTATCCTTGCTAAGAATAATGGAATTGATGACAAGTATGTACCAGAGTGCTTTTAAAAACAATATTACATTAGTATTTGGATCTTTCCTCAAGCTTATACAGGCCCAAGAAAAATATTAATTCCCTGAATTTTTATATTACCAACAAATAGCCAGTATTATGTTATATACATTTTTGTTGAGTCACTTTAACATCCATACATTAATTTTTATAAACTTTTTACGTTACTATCAGGAGCTCACTGTGAATGCATTATCTTCAGATGGTTAAGACATCAGACACTACATTTTACATATAATGTGCACTAATCTCTGGGAAGAATAATTATAAACAATATTCATAGGTCAACAGAATTTAAGCAGGGAGGATAATAGCATTCTTGTCTGTATGCCACATACCATAGAGAATTGTACGTTGTCTATGTACCCAAGGTCTCACTGTATTCCTAAGATTGCCAAGTTCAGTGTTCCCTGTTTTGATTTATACATATTTGGCCCTCAAACTCTTGATTTAGGTTTGCTTCCACTTGTAAACTAATCAAGGAAGACCATAAGAAAATATGCATACAAGGAAATTTTTCACCTCTATAAGCAAACTGCTACTGGTTGTAAACATTCAACCTCCTTTAAAAACTGATAAATGAGAGATATGACTGTTTGGCTTAAGAAAGCACTACAGATAAATTTTACCAAGACTGATTCATGATATAAAATGCTTTGTCTTCATGCTAGAAATTTTTCTTTAGAAATCTTGGGTATTGTATGTAAATCTAGCTTATCAATTTTAAAACGTGTATTCTCTTAAGAACTACATTAACAGAAAGCCTTTTTTATAAGCAGTAAGGTTAAGAATGTTCCAGTGACTACCTGTCCTTATACCTAGTCTTGTTAAAACTTTCTTTTGCAGGGCATTTTAGTGTTTGGTTTACAGTAAGTGCAGAGTGGGCAGATAAAAAGATTTGAGTTAGGACACTGAAAAAGAAAGATCAAAGAATGAAAACGATTTATTTTTAGGGAGATGGCAAACTTGGACCCCTGTATATCTTCATGTGTATGGTGCTCATGATGTCTTGTACTTTGCCTTTGATACCCACCAGAACTGCTGCTCTTACTCTACCTTGCCCAAATCTCCCATGTGAGAAATGCTTTATGATCAACTGCCATAGGACTGATGGAGTAACCAGTGTTTGAATTTATTTGAAGTCAATCTATGCCCTGCACAGATCTTGTATGTATTTTAGATGCTAGGAGTTTTAGCATGTGATTTGTGACTCTTGTTTGGATGTTTTATTACAGGTACCTTGTGAATTCCAGAACAGAGACTGTGCCTCACAATTATTGGTCCCATGAACTTGCACTATCTTTCATGGTGATATTCTAAAAATACAACCAGGAAAAACAAAAAAACAACAAACACCTTTGGACTTAAAAACAATCACGTATCACAAAATTATGAAAACATCGCTTCTGACCCTTTTTCTTATCCTTAATAATTAAGTCACATTTAAGTAAAATTCAAATGGTTGGGGGAAAAAACCCTCACCAGATAGATGGTAGTTTAGTGGAATAGACTGATTACTGTTTTTTAAAAAAATGCTTCATCAGATATTTTCCAGTTTCTCTTTTTTACTTTTTTCAAAAATTACTTTTTAGGAAGATTTGGTATAATGTGCATAAAATTATTTACAATTTATGGACAAAGATACAAGTAGCATCTTGATTAAACATCATTTACCTCAGATATTCAACCAGCAGTACGTTTTTTATGCAGTCTCAACCCGTATCTCCCTATTTGTTACCTCTCAAAATATTGGTAAACAATTATTTTAGCTTTACTCTGTATTTCTTGTCAGTGTTTTGGGCACAGGTTGTTGTACTACTGTCATATTGTACTTGCTATTTTTTTTTCTGCAAGTATTTAACAGAAAGCTAAAAATGAAAAAAAAATCCCCATAAAATCCCACCTTGAATAAGTGATTGTTAAATATTGTACAAATAAAATGTATGCTATCCCCATTCCATCCCCATGTTAAATAAAAAATGAATATGGTATTATTTGCACATGCAGTTTTTCTTCAGTTATGTAGCTTTCCAATTTACAGTGAGGCTTCTGACTTGAGATTTTCAAGGGTCATAAAATAAGGGAGGTTTGTGAATAAGGGGATTTTCCTTCCACTGTTGTCTGATCTGACTATGGTCCTTCCTGCCCATCACCATAGGCTTATACTTAAAGTCACAGATTCATCAGATTCTGTGCTCTCAGGATTAACAGTGAAGGTAACAAGAACCTGCACTATCATCTCACTCAAATCAAAAGGAATACCATGGTAGTAAGTGCATTCTCTGAGACAAAGACAGTTTTCCATTGCACAGCCTGCGACATCTAACTCTGTCAGTGGATACTATGTCCTTACATTATAAGACATTACCGTATGGAAGTTTGAACAATAGATTTTAATTTTTCAGACATGTGTCTATGTAAAATCAGATGCCTTTTAAACAAGATCTAACTTTCAGTAGGCCACATGGAAAATCTGTTTGTTTGTTCTTCTATCTCTTGGCCCAGGGCTCTTGAGCAGAGATTTTAAGTTATCTTCATTGCACAGAAATTTTCAAGTCAGACTTTCTGTTCACAATCATTCCAACCTCCCCTCACCTCACTCTTGTTACTGAGATAACTCAGGCTAGTTTGGAAATGTTATTTAGGCTCCTAAAAGTATCTACCTTTCTTGCTTCTACTCTTAGGTTGTGGAATTGCATGTTATAAACGGACACTTCCATGCTAAACATTCTTATGATTTGTTTTTTTAGTATCTAATTTTTCTCATTTTAGAATTATCTAATAATGTAGTTTAAAAAGCTTACAAGGTAAAAGTAGCTTAAAAACTGGACATATATGTCTATATTGTATGATGTTGATAGTTATTATGGGTTCATTTTTATCTTGATTAAAAAAGAAAGCTAAACATGTTTTACTGTAAGAAAGGCAAAGGCTGTGTATGAAGAAAGTAAGTTTTAACTATGAGGTACTACGTTAATACACAGAAAATTTGTATTTAAGATTTCTTAAAAGTCAAATTACTTCCTACAGTATCCTATAAAAATAGTAAAAAATGTGTTGCTAAGCTTTAGTGTTTAACAACATTGGCTTGAATGTCAGTTAAACCAAGCTGCATTCAAGGTCACACCAGTCATTCCCATACTGTGATCCTGGACCCTGACAATGGTAAGAGTAAGATTTCTAATCTGTAAATAATAGCATTTAATTCTGCAGATACCTTACAAATTGCACATAGAAGGGATATGTATTATATAAAATCTTACTATAACTAAATATGCAATCAAATATTCTTGAAAAAGGAACTCACTGAGATTAAATTCCATTTTAACCTGTTAGTTTTATTTATGTCTATGAATTTAGAAGGTGGACTCTGACCAACTTATTTGTGGAATTGCTCAGGAATCCTTAAAGGTGGCAATTTTGATCCCTTCTGAACTAAAGTATACCCAGAATGTACATTTAAAAATTTCCTACAATTGTGATATGCAGAGAAGAAAGTGCTGAATTGTTTGGACTCTTTCCACACAAGCTCTTCGGCCCAAGTGGGCCAGTCTACTGAACTAGAACACTGGAGATCTGGAGGATCCTATAGGAACCAACTCGGGAAAACCAACCGAACCCCAATATCCACAGGTTCCTAGCCGGAATATTCCTCATGTATTTTTCTGTTTCTATTTCTCCCAACTGCTTAGGATTATGATCTGTAAACTAAGTGCTTAGTTGAAATTAACCTTCCCAATGGCCCACATACACTTTGCAAGAATATCAAATCATCTTATGGACCATCCATAAAATAAGCACATTTTATTCTTTTGAACTGCTACTTGTGTGGTGTAACTTAAATTAATGAACCTGTGTACATGCATGATCATTATTCAAAACACAGCCAAGATACTAAGAGCAAGTTTCCCATAAACAATATTTATAAACAAAGCAATGTAGAACTTTTAGGTCTTCACAGAAATATAATTAAAATCTTCACAGCCAGCTTAGTGAAGATGTTGCCCACTGCCTAACATCTGTAGGGCAGTTGGAATATTTCTGTAGAGCATTCATAATTTGAGTATTATCCAAAAGTAGTTTCACTAGCTGGTATTCTCTCTGAGAATTTACTGATGTTCTTTCCATGGGTTTTATTAGTTCCAATTGTTGTAAGTGCTCAAATGCCTGCAAGAAAAAAGACAAAGCTTAGACTAAAGGGGACAGGTCTAGAGGACAGTTACTGGTTTTGGTAAGGTGTGAAACAGTGGCAGGTGAAAAGAAAGCACATTTGAAGTGCTTCTTTCCTAAGTACACTCTACCCTGTGCACAACTGAATTTATATTAAAATCTTTTATTCATTTGCCCATTCATAAGGTTTTGAAGGATTTCCTCGTGTAGCCCTGACTCCTGGAACTTGCTTTGTAGACCAGGTCTCCAACTCAGAGATCCACTTGCTTCTACCTCCGAAGAGCTGGGATTAAAGGCGTGTACCACCAGGCCTAGGTCTAAAATCTTTTTCTTAATAAACTCCCAACTTTATTCATGACAGATAGGGAATAAAAAAAAGAAAGGAATAGAATGGGAAGGTCACCAATAGAGTTAAAATCACCCTTAGGAATGGGAATTTAGCTCAGCAGTATAAAGTGCTTACCTTGGACCACTAAACAAAACAGCTCCACCCCACCCTCAGACACAAGTTTAGTCAAATCCATAAAAACTGAACAACTGGAGAAAGTTTTGCTATAGTTGTATGTCCCCATAAACAGGTAAATGCCACGGACCAACCCAGCCGGGTGTGGAGGTATTTTCCCTGAACCTTAATAATTAGGTTTTGTTTCTAGGCAGACTGTATCTCAGGTTGATGGGTACTGTACCTAAATCTTACTCATGCTCATCATAGACTCCACCTGAGCTACATAGCTCCAGTCCTTTGTCTATTACTTTGATTTTAAAACCTTAATCTGATAAGATTTTCTAATGAGATAGGTTACTAGAATGTACATTTTCTTTCAATCTCAATAAAGCCTTATTGAACATTACGTACAGCTATATACCAGTAGGTACCACTTAGCGACCATCAGTAAACTTTCTCCTGCAATAGATGGGAACGGATACTGAGACTCACCACTGGAACCTATGCAGAATGAGAGCCCTAGTTTTCCATCAGAGCTCCTCCCCTTCAAAGCTCAAGGAAACTCTTGTGAAAAAGGAGGCAAAAACACTGTCCAAACCAGATGGGATCTCAAGTGTTGAGATGGGGAAGTAGACTCCCTTTCTCTAACCAAGAAGTTATCTCCAATTAACAATTGTTTGCAAAGTAGAAAATAGTTCTCCAATCTCTCTGGGTATACAAACTACACTTAAGGATACGGACCATGCCCAGTAGCAGATAGCCAACAGAAAATGAACCCAAAGGTGGTATTATTATATTTTTTCTGTCTGTTTCATATGGCTTTGTTTCAGCATTTTCTTCTGTTACTGTTCTCTGGCTTATGTATTATGGCTTCCAATTTTGTTTTTATGGGTTCTATTTGTGTGCCTCTGTGCATGCTTTCTCCTGATGCTCTTTCTCTTTCTGTTGTCAGTTTGTTCATTCTGTTTTATTCTTGCTTATCTTTTCTATTTGCCTGTCTGTTTGGGGGGGGGAGGGGAGTGGAGGGGAGAAGGGGGGGAGTATATATGTGTGGTGTTAGAAGGGTGAGGCAGTGAGAAGAATCTGACAGACTGATACCTGCATGCAAATAACTACTTTGAAAAAAAAATTAAATAAAATTTTAAAAAGAAAAAAACTTTAACAGCTGTAATACAAGACAGGTAAGAAAGTCCCCAGAGGAGTACAGTAAGGCCTACTGGGCTCATCATGTAAGCAAAGTACCCTGTAAGATGGCAAAGACTTGGGGGTCGGACAGAGGACTATGTTTATATAACCCCCAGTTTCCTTAGTTACCTTAATGGATCTCTTCATTGTCTGGTTCCCCTTAATCTACAACTCATGCATCACTTGATAATTGTTTAAGTATGTTACTAAGGCAAGAAGAAATACTACACTCTGATGAAATACTAAAGCAATGACACACTGAAGTAGATTCTTGAGCATTCTTACAGTTCCCTGTGAAAAGTATCACTGGAATATAGTCTGTTTATCATAAAAATTCTTATTGGAAGAAAAAAGCTTATACACCATTCATTTTGAAAAATGAGAAAATATCAAATTCTTCAGGTGCAGCTGAACAAAATTGAAAACGTATTTCCAAGATGCAAAATATACCCTATTTTAAAACATACAAATGAGCTTCTAAAAATTATTCCTAAACACTCTAAGGTGCCCTTTTCAAAATTGCAACAACCAGACTGGTGGTTAAGGGAAGAATCTACCCTCAGGACTCTATGACTGCTGTGGCTTGAACAGGCAAGACTGCTCACTTTTAAAAAACGCTACAGAAAATGAAATTCTCACTATGTTCTCTATGGAATACCAAAGGATCAAGCTTCTATTGCTTAAAACAAAACAAACAAATTTTCTCCCATATTGAACTCAGAACCACACTGTCTCAACAGCACTGGACAAAGACAACCTCAAACTGTGTGGCTCTGTGTTTACATTTTTATTTAATTTTCATGAAATAAATGTAAGCTTAAAATGCTTAGACTAATTTACTTAGAAAAATGAATATAGTTGGTATAATTTTAAAATGTAAATCTTTTTTAGCTATTTAATGAGTTTAAAAGAATAAATTTCTAAGGAATATGCATTAAATTGGAATCTGCCATAACTATTTATAAATATATCAAAATTTGAAGACACAAAAGAAATAGTTCAGGAAATATTTTTATCATAAACTTGGAAATAGTTTTCATCAATTGGGTTATACTGTTACAAGTTTTGACCTTTATTTCCTATGCCTATTAGGAAATGTAAGAATATATAGTGTGATTTACATTTTCTTTGTAGTGGAGGAGTGTATTTTCGGATATCATTTTAAGTTGTAAACTGATGTCTTACCCTAAATAAAACTTAACATCTTGTAACTGCCAACTTGTGGATTGGAGAAGGTTAGTTCCTTTTCAGTAGGCAAATGCTAAGAACAGACAGCAGAGGGCAATATATCTTCACAAACTGTAAAACAGGCTATCTACAGAATTATTGAAGTATTTCATTTTTACAAAATTTTGCTAAAAATATTCCTATAATACCTAAGTGTTCAAAGAGTTATAAAGTGAATAAAAAAAATCAATGGAATTGATAAAAAATACAAGCCAATCGAACCATACCTTCATGACCACAGGTTTCTCAAAGTTATAAACAGAATGGGCCTTTCTTTGAATGAATTTCTGAAATTCTGCAGAGTAAGCAATGAGAATATTAGTACTTTCAAATAAGGAATAGGCAAGAAATCAAGAAGAAAATGATGAACTTCATCTCACCATTATACACCATTTGAAAATTAAAGGGTTCCTCTTCATATATGTCATTTAAATGTTTCATTGCAATTATGAGACAGATTTCCAAGACTGACAGACCTAGAATTAAAGGGAGATGGACTCTTGAGTTGCAGCCAAGGGATCATGCCATTAAATTAACTGCTGTCCAGGAAACAATGCAAGGTACTCAAAGGGTAGAGCGTGTCAGGATTTCTCTGTATTTAAAGGTATTTCAACAAGTAAGTCATCTAACTTCCAGGACTTTAAGGCTTTTTTTTTTTTTGTGGGGGTGGGATGATCTACAACATAGAGATTTTTCTGAACTTAAAGGGATGCGCTATAAATATAAAAGGTTTGATACTATATGGCCCACAACAAATGGCAGATATGATTATCATGTAATTTCAAGTATCATAGGCCTTTGGGAGGCATTTATTCAGAGAAGTTCTGGAAATTAATCTAAAATATATCTTACATTTCAAAACGGATAGTGAACCCAAATGGGTGAGTACCAACAAATAGAATAGCACTTAGGGTAAGCAAAGAGAACATCAACAATAGTCCTACCTGGGATTCCCATTGGGATGCAGAACACAAGGTCTCTTTCACTTTAGTAAGAGTGATAACATACTTTATACAGTACCAATTAAAAGTTGTATATAAAGCATTCTGTATTCAAAGCTCCATGCTCAATACTAATTACAACCTCAGAAAACATCTAAATCTAAAGTTTTAAAATCAAAGGATCAAAAGAAAGATTAACAAAGTAGTTTCTCACCATGTACAATATTCGCTTTAGAATCCAAGCTACACAAATGCTGTGCCTCCATCAGATCTGCTGGAGTCATAAATGGGTGTGATACAGTTACTCGACTTAAAGCAAGCATCTAAAGAAAGGTGTATTTTAAAAAGTACTTATTTACTTGAATATTCTGGAGATACTTTAGAACAATTTTTAAAAATATTTTATAGTTTATTCTTGTAAGATAGAAACTAGAGAAATAACCTTAAACTTTGCTTCATGAAAACATAGCAACAATTCAGTTCAGATGCTGCTCTCTCTGCTACTTTGCATTTGAATCATATTTATTACTCTCCAAAAGAAAAAACATTTTTAAAAAGTCCAATAAGAAGAAAACTGAAAGGAAGACTACTAATCAAATACTATCACAAACCTTAGAAGAACACCTGTGTTTTATACAAATTTTTACAAATAATATGTAAAAGTAAGTTCAGCTTAGAAGTTACTAATTCTGAAAATAATTATAAACTTAGAGATAACTAACCTCTTCATTTAGTTCTTCTTAAGCAAGCACCGCCTTCTAGGACTAAGTTTACCCCTCAATTCATGATTCGTATTTGGAATACCAGAATTTAGAGTTTGTAGATGTAGCAGATATGTACAATGTAGTAATATATACATACAGACGTACGTTCAGGTTAAATGTTACGACAAGAGGCTGGAAATCCCTGAAGTTCATTCTTCTACAAGTTAGAACTCAGACCATTTGTGGTTCTTTTGTTTTCTATTTTTTCTATTCATTATAAGATATTTCTTACATTAAAAAAAATCAAACAGAATAATATATATGATATCCCTTACTTTTACATTTTATAAAATATACCTGCTATAGAGCTGTGGGCACTGTTCTTGATTATACTGCACCCTTTGCCACATATAACAGTCAAGAATATCTTTATATTAATGTATTCTTATAAGCTTTAAACTTTATTCTGTATTACTAGATAACACAATTATTTTTAAAGCCTTCTATATCCAATGCAATTGCAATCTAGTTTTAAAACTTTGAATGAAAATTATGAGAATTAATTCACATCGAGATTTCAATTCTAGTTCACTCATTTTCTATTGTACTCCTTTGTAATTACCCACATTTCCTAATTTCCTGTTGATAAACATATGCCATTTTCATTTTGTGTAATGATAAGCAAGACTGCAGTAAAAAAAAAATATCATATATGTTGCTTTATGCATCTTTATATATGTGTGGAAAATTTTTAATCTAAAGATTCTAAAGATTCTTAATCCACAACTTCATTATAGCCAAGTTGCTAAAAATGATATTATATTTTTGATGGGTACAAGGGAATTAAACTAACAAGATAAGAAACTTATTTGAAGAAACACAACATTTGTTAGTAAAAGCAGATGTGGGGAATAAGAATCAGTGAAGATTAACATGGTAGAAACGTATGATGCATGCCATAAGCTTAAACAGTCTAAAGCTCAGACTAAGCTTTGCCTTGTACCTGCTATGAAAGAAATGTTTAGCTCAGGGGTTAAAATTTTTTTTTTAAAGAAATACCAAAGAATAAAGGTTTCCCTTTAGAATTATGATTATTATAAAATAGCTAGATATTATGTAGAAAAGTAACCAGTTACAAAGCAGGTGTGCTACTTAACAAATTGTCACTATTACTTGTTCCTATTATTTAAAAAGGAACAGAAACAAAAGGACCAAGAAATACTTTCTCCCTGAAAGGCTTGTGGTATAATTTTTCTAAAAATACTAGACTAATTTCAAACATTATTAATGAATGAAGTACATTACAATTCACATAAAAGTATTTGATTAATACTGACATTATTTAAACACCCAGACATGACTCACTCCCTTCACCAGGTGATAAATAAAAGCAAAATAAACAAAACCATGTAAACAAATCACATTAAAAGAAGCGAATATAATCTAACATGTCAATCATTAAAGAAAAATTGTATGATCATATCCACTGATCTAGCATCTGACAAAAATGTAAGATAGGTTTGTAATAAACTCAACAAATCAAGCATAACAAAGAAGTTGAAAATGAGCATGTATAAAAAACCTTACAGCTAAAATTTATACCCTACTAAAACAGTGAGTATCTTCCTCTTAAAACTGGCAACTAGGAAAAATGTCTACTCTCAATACTCTGAGCCAACATGTCATGGCAGTATGTAAGAAAGAGAAGAGAAGGGAAGAGGAGGGGAGGGGAGGGGAAGGAAGGGAGAGGGGAGGGGAGATAAGAAAAAAGAAAAGAAAAAAGGACTACAAAGGGAACAATAAAACACACCTATTGGAAGATAATCTGAGTATGTCTGAGTAGGAAATTCCAAAGAAACTATTTTTAAAAGTCTTGAGAGTTCAGCAAAACTGAATGCAGAACATAAAATTAACATACAAAATCCAATCACACCTTTGTTTGGTAAAAATAAAAATGCTAATCCTGAAACTTAAAAATTATCATTTACAATGAACTGCTTCAAAGGGAAATGGGATGCTTAAGTATGATACACTTAAAATACGTACTGGATCCGTGTTAGAGAAGAATATCAATGGAAATAGCCAAGCAAGAACCAATGAGTAAACTATGTATTATATTTAAATATCACCATAACTAATGTAAAGATGTGAAGTTTGTAATGTAAAGACGCATTTCCCCCCAAATGCATCTTTAAGTTTAAAGATTTCAAATCAAGATATAAGCAGTACTTTTGACTTACATACTATTGGTAGAAATGTAGAAATAGTCTAGCTATTATTGAAAACGGAAGGCACTTCAAAATATTAAAAATACAGATTATACATGTATGAATGTATCAAAACATGTTAGTTCATTAATATGTATAGTTTTTATATGTAAAATAGCTATAATACGTATTTATACATAATATATATAATAATTATTTGCATAGATCAGGTAAAAATATATTTAAAAATACAAACCAATAGCATATGTAATGACTGCAAGTTTTTGTTGACACTGAAATGTTTCTGTAGAACTTCAAGTACAGTTGAATCTTCAGAGAGACACTAAAAAAAAAAACCCAAAAATCAATGAAAGTATAGCTTGACCCCAAATTTCCAATCTAATAGGTAGAAACTATATAGTCAAACTAGTGAGACAGATGAACAGAATGTAGCACAAATCAAAGCAGAGAAAAGAAGTTCTAATACTTGAGAAAACCAGTGGAGTCAGAAAGAATGTAGTGGGGAAATTATGAAAAGCTTTAAGAACATGAGCTGAAACAAATCATGTCACAGTGATAACAAAAAGGAGTCATCATGTACTTTAAGCACAGCCACTTGCAAAAGGATAGGACAGGAAAAAAAAAGAAAACCTAACTGGAGCCAATTACAACTGTGGTGAGAATTTAGACATTTACAGAAGACTTGCTTGATGAAGCTTTCATTGAAAAGGAAAAAAAAAAAAAGACTGGGGGGTGGGGGTAGGGGGTGGGGCCGGGCAGAGTGCCTGTGCAGAGTAAGCTATGGTCAAGAAGTTATAAAGTGGTAGACAGAAAAAGGAGCAATCAAAAAAGACACACTAAAGCCTGGAAGAATGTATAAGAGACCATGGCAATCTAGAAAACAGCCGTATAGGTTAAAAATTCCTAACAATAAAGCAGCTTATGGGAGTGTTTATTTTGGCCCTACTTTTGAAGGGTATAATCCAACATGGAGGGGAAGGCACCCTCACAGGAGCTTGAAGCAGCATGTGCCAGTGTATAAGCACTGTATCAGGGAGGAGGCGATGACTAATGTTAGTTCTTAGCTCATGTTTTCCTTTCCATTCAGTATGGAACTTTAGCACATGAAATGGTGACACCCACATTCAGGACAATTATGGAAATACCCTCATGGATTTATGTAGAAGCATGGTTCCATGGCAATCTAAACTAGTCACACTGACATGAAAATTAACCATCACACAAGCAAAGAAGCTTCAAGATGGAAGTGATGATCAATGATACAATACAAAGTACGTTGTAAAACTAAACTTGAGATACATTAAGATGCCAATGGATACAGAAACAAGGGATCAGTTTTAAAGAATTGGGATTTTAACAGAAGGTAAATACAGATGAAAAGAGTGAATTTAACAAAGCAAGCAAAGATGCAACAGCACATGGCATAATTTTTCAAATGTCCACTGCTTGGTATAAAGGTTCCTTTTCCTTAAACTAGTTGAAATAAAAACAGCAACAAAATGACCAGCATGGCAAGCCATGTCCAGGGGAGCAGTAGTGTGCAAGTATTATGAACTAGAGTTAAGATTCTCCACAGGAGGCACATGCCTAGTACTGTAAATATGGCCAAACCTATGACTAGAAAGCTCTACTCGACTATTCTACTATATGGACACTGTATCAAACTGCCCTCTAAATTCCTACCTGGTACAGTGCTCAGACCTCTTTTTAAAGTTTATTTAGCAGATAGTAGTTAATGGAGAAACTCACAACTGGTCAAAGTGCAGAGTGTAAGTGACTGATTAGTATTTGGCCAGAAATGGGGCATCTATATATTAAAACTCTTTCCCAAAGTTCTGAGTGAGATCATCTCAGAAGACAGGTGGAAAGATTCTAAGAGCCAAAGGGCAAGGAAGAGCAGAGTAGAAATGCCATATTCATTAACTCATGGCAGTTGTGGTTATCCAGACAATATCAAGCCTGTTAGCACTATAGCACAATATGGGAAGGGGTTCATGAGGCCCCAGTGTTGGCTGAGGGGCTAGGACAGTTGACAGGTTCTAGGAGAGGTAGTGAGTTGTTCCTGGCAGGCTGGGCAGTCTCCAGCAGATGGTCCCACAACCGAATATGTGGGTAGCACAACTAGGACAGGTGAGTTGTAAAAGAAACAAGATCAAAAAACAAAAACCATACGATTGAAGGATATTGTATGATATCTTTAAAAAATTATCAAAGACCATTAACAAATCCCAACAAACATAAAAATGAACTAAACCTCCATAAACAATGACAAAAAGGAAAAAAAAAAAGCCCAGGAAAACAAAATGTTTTTATTCCTACTAGAGCTTAACACCAGGGCTTGATTCTTTCACCTCAGAAATATCTAAATTTAGGGAGTAAGCTTTTGTCTCTTGAAACGAAATTTTACATTTTCAGCAAATATATTTTCTACTTTAATATAATTTTCAATAGCTTTTAAAGGGCTTGTTGAAACTACAGGTTAATCTTAAACACGTAAGCAAGTAAACAAACCAACAAAAAGTGCACTACAACATCAGCAATGGCATAGAGGCTAGCTCCCCAAACCCCCTTCACCACAAACTCACCCATAAGGGAAAAAGTCTCTGGCTATGTTACTGACAGTCTTTTTAAATATATTTAAAAAACACAGCCATGCAAGGCAACACAAGATGAATGTCTTAAGAAAAGAAATTAAGAGCTGCATGCCCTAATAGTGCTAGCTCTCCTTTGATCACTAAAGCTACAAGACTGCCACAAGGAAGGAAATCATCACCTTCCATGTACCATTTAAGTTAAGGGGCTATAAAGTCTGGTAAAACAAGAAAACTAAAAGCAGGTAGTCAGGGAATCACACCTAGGGTAACAAGAAAACCCGCAGTTGTACCTACGTAGCTTAGTACCCTGCTTGGATGCAGATGGGCAAGAAGGAACCAAGAAGACTGCCTCTGTATCTTGAAAAGGGTGTTTCCCAATGGACATATGCTTTTCTGCAGCTAAACATCCTTGAAATTAAAAGTAGTTCTTACCACTAAAAATGAAATTTTATACTTTCGAAATTAAAAGTAGTTCTTCATATCAGAAACTAAGGTCTCAGGGAACTTTTACATACTAAGGAAGGACTTGCATCCTCAAAAAACTTGGCATGTGGTTGTTTCTAAAGGCTCACAGGAAATAAGAACCTAAAGAGACACCTGGTTCACCATGATTTTCCAGGAGGAAGACAGTAATGCTACCTCATGATCATGCCATCCATAAATAGTCACAAAACCTGAAAGGACTCAATGAGTTGCTGCTACCTCATTCTTTTTGAAACATCATGTCCCAGTCTCTATAGACTGGACTACTTCGCTAAATACATGTCTTCTTAAGCTGTATATGTCTTGGTTAAATTCTTTACTGTGAGAAGCTTAAGACCAATCAGATAGACACCTGATAACAAAACTATAGCTGAGCCACCCTATCATCAAATAGTATATACTTTTTAATTCATCTAGACTAAAGACTCACTAGTGCTTAAACAGAAATCTTGATCATTCTTTATTTCTATTCATTACTGCATCTATAGGAGAACTGAATCAAGGAAATACCTCAAACAAAACGAAGGGAAATCTGTTCTCTGATATGAGAAGTTAAGGTAATTTGCATACAGTATTTTGCATGTAATACCAATGTACATTTCTATATATCTTTGGATTATATATATTACCTAACACAAAGTAAATGTATGTAAATGGCTTTTTGTGTAGATTAGTAATTTTGCCAACTAGATACAAACTAAAGTCCAGTGGGAAAACAGGCTCTCAACTAAGTAACTACATCAAATCAAATCAAATCTGTCAGAATGTCTATGGGTGCATTTTTTTGATTAATGATTGAAGTGGGAGGGCCTAAACCACTGTGGGTTGAACCATGTCTGAGCAGGTAGTCCTGTGTTGTATAATAAAGTAAACTGAAAAAGCTAGTAAAAAACATTCTTTCATAGCTTTCACTTCACTTCCTGCCTTCAGGTTCCTGTCTTGGCTTCCCAATGATGGACTCTAACCTGTAAGCCATGTAAACCCTCATCATCTCAAGTTGGTTTTGGTCTTAGTGTTTTATTATAACAGATCTAGGTCATTATTATACTGAATTAAGGGAATAACAAATAAAAACCTATATATGTACAGTACAAGTGTCATTATTTTCATTTGTGGCTGCACCTCACAATGTAGGGCTCATGGGTTTAATATATATATAGTTATAGAGACTCACAATATAACATATATTGATGATGGCCTTGGCTGTAAAGTCACCATAGGAAAATAGAGTAAATAGGCACGGAAATAGTAAAATCAATGGGAAAGCAGACATTTAAATGCAAAGGAAGAAATGCATTAAATCTCTCAAAAACATGACAGAATAAGACGATTAATTAGCTGAAGAGCTATATAAAGGGAATGAAGGCCAGGAGGGCACTGAGAAGTAAAGTGGCCAGAGACCAAGAAAAAGAACAATGTAAAATAGCAATTACAAGAACATGCTCCAAAGATATCTTGAATAAGACATAGTGTCAGAGAAAACTTGCCTAGTTAACAATCTCCTGAGTCCTATGAAAGATTAGTCTGGTGGAAGGGAAGACTCAAACTAATTATTCTTAAAATTAAGAATATTATACATCTTAATATACAATCTATTGGAGTATATACAATAGTTGTGATGGATAATATTGACTGTTGACTTGTTAATGAGAAATTATCTAGATTAGGATAGACTCTGGTACATTCCTGAAAAGGATTATCTAGATTAGTTAGTTTAATGAGGTGGAACTTTTGTGATGGTCTGAATAAGAATGGTTCTTATAGGCTCATATATTTGATTGTTTAATCATCAAGAAGTGGAACTGTTTGAAAGGATTAGAAGGATTAGGAGCTGTGGCCTTGTTGGAGGAAGTGTGTCACTGGGAGTGAGTGGGCTGTGAGGTTTCACAAGCCCCTGACAGGCTCAGTCTCTCTCGGCCTCTGCTTGTGGATCAGGATGTGGCTCACAGCTACTTCTCTAGCACCATACATGCTTGTGTCCATACTCCCTGCTGTAATGATAATAAAATACTCCTCTGAAACAGTAATATAGCTTCCAATTAAATAGTTTCTTTGAAAAAGTTGACTTGGTCATGGTGTCTCTTCACATCAATATAACAGTGACTAATACAATACATACAAATAGATATTCCTATGTATGTTTTACAGCAATAATTATAGGTAGGGAATTATAAATCAGAACAAAGTTAAACATAGAAAGAAATCATATCTAACCATTGAACCTGTGTAAAACAAAATTTAGTTTGCAAGTAAGGTATGGTTGTCTGGTTGCCTAGTATACATAAGAGAGGCACCACAGCCTAAACAGTCTCTTAATAAACTAATGCTGATAGTCAATAATCAGCTAATAAACAAAAGTCATTTATAGATCTGAAAATAAAAACATATATAGAACTAAGTATGAAATATCAATATGGTTTCTTGCCAAAATATAGAAAATTTAAGCTATGCAAATTTACTAAAAATTTATCCAAAATGTAAACCAGGTATAGATAAAAACTTCAATTACTGACAAGAGTTTTAAGGTTTAACCTGAAGTTCTTCTGAAGAGATATTTTAGGAGACAAAATATTCTATTATTCTTAAATAAGAAAAAGTTTGTAATTTGTGTTCCCTTAGTAACATGTAAAGATATACATTGCTTTGTGATTTTGTTTTCAACTTACATGAGCATTCTCATTCCATCTCTCAGCAAAAACCTTATCTGGGAATTCTGCAGGTAGAGATAATTGTTCTTTAAATATTTTCAAATATTGTGGAAAATCAAAAGAATTCATTAAATGTATCTGCCGGTGAGAGAATCTTGACTTCACTCTCTTTTCTAAGAGTTCCAAAATATCCTTGAAAACAAAAATGAAATCCATATAAAATGCATGTTGAAAAAAAATGCTGTTAGAGAAGAAGCTGACTACAGCTTGTAACTAGTAACATTTATAATCTACAAGAGTATTTTAATTGGAGGGGAACTGAATCAGTGGTTCTCAAGCTTACAAATGCTGTGACCCTTTAATATAGTTCCTCATGTTGTGATGAAACCCCAACCATAAAATTATTTTCGTTACTACTTCCTAACTGTAATTTTGCTACTGTTATGAATTATAATACAAGTATCTGATATGCAGGATGGTCTCAGGTTACCACTTTGATCCCTGTGGAAGTGCTGTTCAACCCCTAAACGGGTTGTCACCCACAAACTGATAACTACTGAACTAAATAATTCCTAGGCACCAGTATCTCGTAACTGCGTTCTAGCCCCATTATCATGTGCTAACATTCCCAAACCTACTAAGGACATTCAAACAGTTACTGTTTCTAAACAGAGACGGTCAGTGACATTAAGCACACTAATATGGTATTCTGCATAGCCTATAAAAAAACAATCACATAAAAATCTGAGGTAACAAAATGCAATGAAACTTAATAGCATTAACAAAAATTCAGAGATCTTCATGATTTTTAAGAGCCTTAAGAAATACGATATATAACACAGCAAAATTCTATTCGCTGAACTACAAATAGTATTAAGCTAATTTGATCAGTGGAAGGAACCAGTACTGAGAACTGAATTCTCGTCCCTTCCAATAAGAACAAGTGCTCTTAATGGCTGAGTCATTTCTCCATCCAATTATTGTTTATTTTAAAGGTGTAAATACATGAAAATAAACTATGAGAAGTTCTCATCTTCTTAAAATAAACTGAAAAACATAATCATGAGATGAAACTATTATTGTTTTACCTCAAGATTTTATAGGAAAGACAGATACAGATTAGATCATTTTGTGATAACTACTAAAATTACAGAATAAATGCAGGAGAGCCAGCCTAATTATACTACTATCTCCAAGTATTGGTATTTTCTACAATAAAATTTTCTTTTCTAAAAAGATAGTGGCTCCAGAAAATGTATATTTTTACTTGAATCTTTATAATAAAAAACAAGCAAAAAGGTTAATAAGCCCTGATACGCATGAAAAATTTAAGTAATCATAGGTTATTTAGGAAGTGAAAGAGCAAAGACTTATAGTGGTGTGGATTCAAGAGAGGAAAACAAATTTTTCCTAAAATATTTTTAATAGTTTCATAGTGAACAACAGCTGAATTATAGTGATACGACTCAAAGATCTAAATTTTGTATACATGCTCATTTATTTTCTACTACAGAGAAGTTGTAAGCTACTAGTATAAATAAGTAGTGGAAAGGCAACTATTAATAAAGCAAACTCTAGGCAAAGATTAAGAAACTGTACTTGGGTCCTGGGAAGACTGCTACCTACGAGTGAAAAGGCCACTGAAGTCAAGGCTGAGGACTTGTATTCAATCCCTGGAACCTATACATTAGAAGGAGGGCGATCCAACTCCTCCAAGGTGTCATTGGGCAGTCACATGTCCATTACAGCATGTACCTTCCAAATCAAGAAGGAATTGCAAAGAAAAAAATCTTGCATCTGAGAATAGAGAAAAGAGGGAACATAGAAGCTGCTCTGGTGGTAGTCAGTAATGACAAAAGTTAAAAAACTACTTTTTACAAAGGAGGGTTTCTTGCTGACATAGCAACTGTTTATACCTATGCTTTGGTTTTTCTATATATACTTCCATAAATATATGAGCATGATTTGACATGATAGAACTACAGAATTAGAGACATATGCATAAGCTACTCATGAATGTTTGTATATGGAGTGTATATGTGAGACCAGAGGTTTAGACTGGGTATTATCCTCAATTGCTCTCCAGTTTAGTTTTTAAGACAGGGTTCCTCAGGGACAGCGATCCAGATCAGTAGGTAAGGGCACTTAATACCCAGGACTCACATGGTCAATTGAGAAAAGTGACTCCTACAAGTTACTCTGTTGTCCACATACATGCCATAGTACATGCATGTGGACATACCTATTACCTACACATACAAAAAAAGACAAACAGCAAGACTCTCATGAACCTGAGGCTTGCTTATTTAGCTAGATAGGCTAGCTAAGAAGGCAGAGACATTCTCCTGTTTCCACCTCCCCAGTGCTTGGTTTACAGTGACCTACATCTATGACTGCTGAAGTTTGAATTCAAATCTTCCATGTTATTTTCACCCAAAAGATTATTTTCTTATGTGTATGTGGTGGCACGCTTTACATATATATGGGTATGTATGTATGTGTGGAGGTCTGAGTTTGAACTCAAGAGTATTCATCATGGCTTTCCATCTTTCTTGTTCACTGAGGCAGTTTCTCAATTTAACCCACAAATCCACCAACTAGGCTAGTTTGGTCAGATAGCTTGCTCCAGAGATACATTGTAGGTCTTAAAGTTCTGCACTTGCAAGTGGGCTGTCATACTCATGCCCTTTAGGTAAAGTAAGTATATTCTGGGGATTTGAACTTTGTCTTAACATTTGACCAGCAGGTCTTAAAGTCACTAAGCCTTCTGCTCAGCCTCATTTCCCTAGCCCTTTCTTTAAAGAAAGAAGTGTTTCTTTTAGCCTGGTAATAGCTTCTAGTTTGGGGGAAAGATAAATACAGAATATCAATGATAAATAAATATAAAAGAATGATCTCAAAGCATATGAAGTATACCAAGATCTTTCTGAGATTCACAATAAGTTAAAGGACAGTCTGAGCAGAGTGAACATCTCTATCAAAACAGTTACTACAGTTCAGTGGGAAAAGTGCTTGCCTACTATGTGTGATGTCCTAGGTTCAGTTCTCAGGATTGGACAAAAACAACAAAAATGATAAGCACAAAAAGACTCATGTAGGTGTCTAAAATTTATTACTTGGAATTCAGGTGAAACCATTTAAAAATCTATGCCACAGCAAGAATTCATTCTACTGCTGATAAAAAAATCTATAGAATTTACGGAGATAAAATCTTAGTAACTTATTCCAAATTATAAAAATAATCTTATATGAGAAAGTAAAATGTATTACCAATTTGTATAGAATATTACGGATATTACATAACCGTTCCTTTACTTGAACAGAGGATAGAAATCTCACTTATTAGTATTTGTTTTATTCCATGACATCACTGGTAGGACTAGAATCATATCTTATAAAATACGTAGCAATCTTTTCTTGTTTACCTCAACTGAAAACAGGATTAATGTATAAAGAACAGATCTCAAAATATTTTAAACTAAATGGCTTATGTCAGTATAATTAAGTTTGAATTTTTCAAATCTACACACACTTACCAATCTACATGTAAGGCCAATAACTGATACTGGTGTCTGTGCAGATTGAGAAATGTCAAAAAGATTATAAAGGAGTGTTTGGTTTTTCTGATGAGTGAAAAGATCAAATTCATCCAGGATGAAGATCACTGGGCAACTGCTAGTCCGGTCACCTAAAAAAAAAAAAATTGAGTTTTAGATTAACAAGAAATTACATCAGATTTTCTTATATTTTTAAAATGTTACATTTCAGTCTAAATTCCAAGTCAACACACATTGGTAAGTTACTCTGGGCAGGGGATTTACACATATAGGCTTACTTATACATAAAAAGTTATCCACAGGACAAAGATGGCCATTGCTGCTGGAAAGCAGTTTATAGTCTAATTACAAGAGTCTAGAAGTTTGATGAAAAAAATTCATAAAAGTATTTTGCAACATAGTGTTATGATTATGTAAATGTAGTAGTTCCTTAATAATTACAATGCTAATTTTTCAATACTATCAAATATCAACACTCTAGGAGTAACTAATGAATGAAAACTGTTTCATAGAAGACATATTTAGCTAGCAGAAATGAAAGATGTACTTTCCCATTTAAGTTTTCTCTACAAACATAAACTAGAATATAAAGTATAGTTAAAAAAAAAACAAAATAAAACAAGAACATCCACTATAATTCTTTTTTAATACAAGTTTTAACATTTCATTCAGGAGGAAATATTCAGTAGGCCTCAATATATTTTCTCTCTACACTGAATGGAAACTTTTGATGGAAACTATTTTAATAGAAAAATAATTAAAACTTTAAGAATACATAATTTACATTTATGTAGGACCTTTCAAGCAAAGAATAAGAGATTTATCCCAATAAGAAAACAAAATGACCTGAGAGTAAAGATATAATTTTGGCAAAAACAAACAAACAAACAAACAACAAAGCACTAAAACCAAACAGAATTAGGAACTAGTACAGAAAAAAGTATTTGTATAATATGGCTATTCACATTGGGGAAAACAGTTTATTCCAAGTCAAATCACTGCATATAAAAATATATCTGTGGCTTTGTTGACATGTACAAGTAATCCCAGCAATCTGGAAGGTAGACACTGGATAATAAGGAGTTTAAGAGTCAGCTTCAGAAATTGATATGCCAAGGTGGGTTAATATCCTTGGGAGGCCTCCCCTTTTTTAAAGAGAAATGGAGGAGAGGACAATCTGGGGAAGGGGAAGGAAGAGGGAAGAACTGGAAAGAGAGGAAGGGGAAATTGCAACTCAGCTGTTACAGAAATAATCAATCAATACACACACACACACACACACACACTCACACACAAGTATGTGTGTATATTAAATCGGAATACTGCTGAGTTTATATTCTTTAAAGGAGAAATAAATACCTTCAAGATAAAATGAATTATGTAAAAATTTAACACTTCTATTTAGTCAACAAGTACAAACAATACTGAAGGCAACAGAGTACAACAAGTTCTATAAATATGTATGAGACAAATATCACCAAAATAGGATGAAGAATCAACAGGAAATAATAATAGTCAGTCAAAACATCAAATGAATGGCCATCACCACAAAGTCAGGCAAATTAAACAAAAATAATTATAGAAACAAAACTGATGCAGATTCTTTTCTATGAGTTAGCCAAAGATAAAATTTTGTAATTGTTTTTGTACTCTGGATAAAAAGTACTCTCAAACATGTTTCAAAGATAATGATGCAATAATTTTTTCAACCCGGTACTTTTTAATCTACAATTCTACCTATTAAAACTTACCAAGAAAAATACATGAATAATCTTTTAAACATTTCTTCCTTGTTATAAAACAAAAGCATATAACTTCTATAGCATGTTTCTATAATAGAATTCAAGACAACCATAATTACCAAGTAACAGGAAAAAAATTATTTTATTCTTGATGTCTGAGACATAGTCTCATTTCTTCCTATCTTGAGTTCCTAAGTGCTGTGATTATAGGTAATTTTAGCTTTTTAAATTTGAATTTATTATTAGTGTGTTGAATGATGTCTTTGTGTACATGCTCTAGTGTGTTATGGTGAATGTGTGGAAGTCAGAAGGCAACCTCACATCTTGGGCTCGAGTAGCAAACTCAGGTTGCCATGCTTGTGTGGCAAGTGCTTATTACATGCTGAGCCATCTCACTGACACCGATTTTATCCCTGAAAAAAATCATATTCTGAGAGAATCATTACAGTGGCCATTAGCTTAATTATTTAATTAAATCATTTAGTTTAATTCCCATACCTTTTTCTTTCTTTTTGCTTATTTTTTGGTAAAAATTTTTAATACTCAAATAATCAGAAAAGACTGAAGTAAAATTAAGTATCCTAAACATGTACCTTTTTGCAAAGCTTCCAGAAGAAATGAAAGGTTTTCCGCAAAGCTTCCCTGCATAACAAAAATAGATAAGATCAGAGTTTAATAAAATAAATAAGGATGACTATTATTTATAAAAAGAACACACCTATGCATCGTTTTTACTAAGAAATTAGACATTGAATAGATACTCAGTTGAATATTTGCATTAATTATCCATAACTTAAATACAAAAGGAGAGAAAGGGAAACAATAAAAACGACAATACTATGTTAAATGTGTGAAGTTTCATATTTTCTGGATAATACTGGTAGAAATGTTAGATAACAATGTAGTTTCTGGAGGATTGCTAGATTCTAAATATAGCTGAGGATTAGAACTATATTCCACTTTGTAGCTTTAAACACAACATATTCCTCCCAGTCTCAAATTAATTTGCACCACCAAAAAAAATTATTATGGATTAAAATCAGATCAAAAAAGAAAAGGGGAATTTGCTTAAAATATTAAACATAAATTGTCTACAAAAGAATGCCTATTTAGGAATTTGTGTTTACCACATTACCTGTTTCTTTGCAATATATCTAAAGTATTTTTGGACAAAACTTAAACATTTTGAGAGAATGTCTGTCTGCATGTGGGTATGTACATGCTGAGTGCAGAGGCCACAGGTATTGGCTCCCTGACCTGGATTTAGAAAACAGTTATGAACCACCTGACACAGGTATTTGTAACCAAACTCAGCTCTTCTGGAAGAGCATTAAGTGCACCTTACTGCTGAATGTATCCATCCTCTCAATCATATATTTTAAGGAAAAAGTCAACTTTAAATTTAAGGAGCTATAAAAAGAGAAACGAAACACAATAGTTTTTTTTTTCTTTTCCAGAAAGAACCTGATATAGCATAAACATGTTTATGTTTTTTTACACTTTTTTTGTGTGTTTGTATAGCACAATGTACATTTGGAGGATAAGTTGCAGGAGTTAATTCTCTCCTTCTACCTTTAAGTGGGTCAAGCTAGGTAGCAAAGTGTGTCCACCTGCAGAGCTGTATCACCAGCCCAGCATGATTTAAGTGCATCCACACACAATAGTCATCATACACTGTGACATAAGTACTACTACCAAGAATGAGGAAACACAATTTACTAACAAGTCACTAACACTGCCTCCGTAGGGATAACCTGTTTGGAAATCAGCAGTCAGTTGCTTATTCAAAGATATTTTGTCTTCTGGTTTTTTCAATAGTCCATTATAGCTCATCATAAAGTATGCACACACTTATTCAAATATATATGAATATATATGAAAAAGTATGTGTGTGTGTGTGTATATATACATGTATATACATACATTTATGTATGCATATGTATGTATATAATATATGTATGTATATATATATACATACATACATACATATATATACATATATATCTGCATGATGTACCTATAAAATATATTTACTCAAAGACTGAGAACACAGTAAAGTTCTGGCTTAAGTGACTTTTGTTCTTCATGTCCAGACTTCACAAACCTATGAGCTCAGGCAAACTAACTAGTCTTTACACCTTAAAGACCTAATCTCCAAAAAAGAGATTATAAGCTAATAATCTTTTAACAGCCATCCCTTGTTATTATGGAGGATTGAATCTCAGACCCCTTTTCATACACAAGAATAAAAAATCTATAACTCATCAATCCTGCTAAATGAAATAGTATAGTATTTACAAATTAATTTCACACCATAGTCCATTACCTCTATATTACTCTCAATACCTTAATAGAGTGTAATACTATCTGTCCTATTTAGTATTTGCCTATTTGATCAAAATCTACACAGATGCAGGAAGAGAAAATCTTGACTGAAGAACTGCTTTCATCAGACTGGCCTATAAGCAAGTTTGTAAGGCACTTTCTCGACTGCTAATTTATATAGGGGGCCCAGCTCACAGTGAGCAGTACTAATCCTGGGCAGATGGGCCTGAGCTGTATAAGAAAGGTAGCTGAGCAAGCAAATAAGCAGAGTTCCTCCATGATTCCAACCCCTGCTCCTGCTTGAGTTCCTGTAATCTGGAAGCAGTTAGCCAGATAATTAACCCCGTTATCACCAGATTGGTTTTGATTACTATATTTATTACAGAAACAGAAAGCAATCTAAAAACATTATCTAGCTATTATTTATTAACTCTAATAGATTATTTAAAACTATAACAACAAAATACGAAGTGTATACAAGTTCAACATAAATGCAATTTTGTTTCCTTGAATATCTTCAGTTTGCTATTGGTTGCATACACAGCTATAAGACCTAAATATATGAAAGATTGACTGTCATGATAACCACAATAGCCATGATTAGAATGACATCATAATACAACTGTCTCTCTCATTAATTTATACAAATATAGTACCAATATATCCATTTAGTAACATTAGAATTAACGCCCCAGATAATTTGGAAATTAAAAGCCACATGGAGTTTAATAGGAATTCTTGTTGAACATAGTATTTATAAAAGGGACATTCTGACTTTATTTCCCAACAGTTTGTAGAGCAGGAAAGGAGAAAATATGGTTGGTTCAACCTTTTGCTGCTAATTTAAAGAATGCAATTCCTAGATACTAGAAGTGCACACAGCTGTGTTCAGATCACTGTAGCTAGAGTAAAGAGCGGTAAGATAGGAATGACAGTACTGCTGGAACAACAGTGGACAGAAAATGGACTCAGGTTATGTGTATCTCATCTGTACATGGAGTCTCTGGATATTAGATTAGGACATGGATTACTCATGTTTTCTTCAGGTCATGTATGTTAACTGTAAACAGTTTAATGAGACATTTCGAACACTTCAAATCATTATGAAGCCCTATCAGTGCTTTAAGACTTCAGCATACTGTAACTGATGGACATGAAATAATAGATATTCATACAGCATATTAGCATCCAGCAGAGTATTTAATCAAGAGGCAGTATACTTCCCTTGTTTAGAATAATCTTGTGAAATACAAAAAATAGGTCTACTTAGTAAAGAATCTGATATTGAGAGACATTCATTGACCTGAGAGTCTAATATTATCACCAGGAAATCAAATCATAGCAACAAATGAGTCAACCCTCTATGCCATTTTTAAATTCAGAATATTACCCAATATGCTCATGCTACTTCACAAGCCTTGATTTAAAAAAAAAACTTTTACTTAAATAAAACATAAAAAAATATAAAAACCACCAAAATAAAAGCTTGATGACTAAATGTATCCTCATACATTAAATCTTTTCCTAACAAATATCTTACATCAATTTCTAATACGTGTGTGTGTACATATATATAACTTTCTAAAACGACTCTCCTAACCTTACAGAAATAAAATATCTGAAATGATACTTACAAAAACTTTATCTCCAACTACATTTTCTAGATTTAATTGTCTTGTGATCTCTTTCAGAGCAATTTTTTCATTTGTCTGCAGCAGTCCTGAAACAGTATAATTAGTGGTGTCTAAATAAAATAAAGCAAGTATTTGATACAGACAATTTTACAAATAAATATATTTTCTAGTGCTTTTAAAAGTTTAACTAGAAAGAATATAATCAGTCTGCTAGTTCATGTTACTTCTTCTAAAAATATGGCAATCAGAGAATCATTCCTTGGAGATGACACTATTTAAGAAAAAAATTGTTTGAAAATATATACTTTTACCCTATACATTTTCCTTTAATTTCTAAAAGCTATTAAACTGGCATACAGTTTTTAATATGTAATATTTAGACAGACTTAAAACACAAATGAATTTATTATCATCATATGCAAACCTAAGTAGCCTACATTGATTCTTAATTGAAAAACAATGATAAACTCACCATTTAAGTGAACTTGTAACACATTTTCACTCACTTCTCCTATTTCCATGAGTTCTTTCAAAGCATGATTTAATAACTAAATATAAAAATATGTAAAATGATTAATATGGAAAAGATAAAATGAAGCTATTCTTTTTCAAAATCATAAATGCTAAGAACAAATACAAACAAATAAATGACTCTATAGCTAAAAGGTTTAAATATATACAACCCACTATGTCTAAGTCTAATGGCAAATCTTAACAATTTACCTAAACTTTTTTTTTTTTTTGGTTTTTCGAGACAAGGTTTCTCTGTGTAACCCGGGCTGTCCTGGAACTTACTCTGTAGACCAGGCCAGCCTCGAACTCAGAAATCCGCCTGCCTCTGCCTCCCAAGTGCTGGGATTAAAGGTGTGCGCCACCACCGCCCGGCTCTACCTAAACTTTTAATAAATGTTGGAAGCAATCCTAAAGCTTTCTCTACATTACAGTTTAAACTATTGTCTTTTGTACTCTTTATATTTCAGTATATTTTACTATTCTGTAACATTTCTCTACCAAGTGTCATTGAAAGCACCTATAACCTAAATAGTTGTAAATGGTTTGTCCTCCACAAAACAATAGGAAAGTTAGTAAAAGGTTACATGCAATCATAAGACTACCAATAATAATTACTATGAAAATGTACTTATACTCAGAAGGTATTATTATATTATAAAATTTATAAATGAGGAAGATTAAGGGAAATGTAAAACACTTCTATTCAAATAAAAAATGGTCCAGGGAAACAGATGTTAAGTGTACATATAAGTAAAGAGAGTAGACAGATTTCACAAAAGGATAGTAAACATTGAAACTAACTTCGGTATAGCTGTGTGGATTTTAAGGACATGGAATTCTACTTTAGATCACAGGTATTCTTGATCTAGAGTCTCTTAAGAAAACAAATTCTCTGTGTACAACTAACTGTCTGACTACTGTAGTAGCTCAGCTGATAAGAAACAATAAAAGCAACCAGAAGGGACAAGATGGTACTTTACTATCTTTGGATCAAGTCAACTCTACTACAGAGAACATCTGTGACTCATACCAACTTTCTCCCTAAAAACACTACTTTCAAAATATTTTTAAAAAGTATTGCATTGTGTGCTGTCTCCTATCTGTTATATTTCACTGACACTTATATTTTATTCGGGAGCCATTTTCTGTTTCAATTCATGAGTCACGCATTAGAAAACATTTCAAATCCTTTAAAGAATAGACATTAGTAAAACTTTCATCTCATCAGTGTATCAAGAGAGTCTGAGCACTCTCCCATTGAACTCACCTATACAGACTTACTTTGATTTGTCCATTACTGTTATGATAGACAGTACAAAGGAACAGAAAATGTCCTAGTAAGCCACAGGGATCTGAGATTTCTGTGTAGCTTAGCCATTTATATAATCTAAATACAGCAAAAAGAAAAGAAAAACTAAAGAATATCTTATTCCATGATTTTCCTCACAAAACAAAATTTAAGCAAAATTCATGCAATTTTAAAGGGAGGAAATAAGTAAAAAGCATGATCAACTCCCATATCACAACTTAATTTTGTAGGATACCTACATGGTTTTTGACATTTAAAAGGAATAGAAAACAAAGAATGTTGCAATATAATGAAATGAAAAACATTTTTAGTGTCATATGATATAAAAAAGTTCAAACGTCTACTAAAGCAATGATAGATGAGAAACTTAAGTCTTTTACCATGGTCTTTCCTGATCCTCGTGGTCCAACAATGAGCACAGAATTACTTTCTCCATAGATAGCAGTTCTTTTGAGTAGCTCAATCAAATGCCTAAAATGATATGGAAAGGCAGAAACAATAAATAAAGGTGAAATAATTTATTGAGTCATTCCTTTAAAAGGCTAAATTAGAAAGTAAATATTAGTTTTACCCTTTTGGCTCTCTAGTCCAAAGGTCTCTTTCCTGTATATAGAAAAATACAGAGAAAAGAACATTGTCCAGTAGAGATTCTCTAGAGGCCAGAAGAGGAAATCCAGGAAAGCTGAATTCATTTCGTTTCATAGTGGGAGAAGGTAAGAGACAATTAAGCTAATTTTTAGGTCCTCTGGGCTTAAGAGAGAATTATTTTTGCTAGCACTTTGGTCATCATCACCTGAACTAGGCACCAGGTGTGAAGTACAAGAATGTCAGAACTCTTTCAATAATAGCAGATAATTGACACAAAAGAAGTATTAGGGACCATATGTCCTTATTAATAACATAGTAAGACACTAAGTACTTTTATGTGTTCATGTTTCACAATATTCAGTTTCTATATGTAAAACATAACTTCAGATAAAGTTTGTGCATGACTAGCCTTTTACAAAACTTGGGAGAGCAAATGAAAATGATTTTATAATAGAGGAGCTGATAGTTAGACTTACTTGTATTGTACTTGTACTCCAAACAGGTTGCTATGTGGACTGTGATGACAAAATCTTTCACGTAAAATTCTTTGCACCTGATAAACATAAGATGAACAGATGTAATAATAAAAATATTACACATCTAATAAAAATGAATGAGAAAGTTTATTTGTAGCAGCCAGGAATTAAATATGAATGGTTCTGGCACCATTTTTCTGAGTTATGAAACTAGATTCTTCATTTATCTATGTATCAATGCACAGGCAATGCGATCTAAAGCAACAGTGCCAGTGCAACCACATAGGCAATGGTCTCTCTAGAGACTAAGACACTGAAAATGTCTTAGCTTAGTCACAATCAGGACCTGCCCTAAAAGTCAGGATTCTACAGAAAACTAAGCTTGGAGATTCATGTAGTTTCAAATATCCATTAGATTCTGAGTACAGAAATACTACAAAAGTATCATTCATGGCTGAAAAGACACTGCAAAAAAGGCAGAAATATAAACTCAAATATCAAACTACAAAACAATACTAGTTCAGCCTACAAGCCAGTATTTAACTATGTGAAAGAAATGACATTTAACTAATCTATAAAGTAGGGAATCAGACCAGGGATGTAGTTCCATGACAGACCTACTGCTTAGTATATATGTTCAGCCCTGGTTTCTGTTACTGTAACTCCAAAAATAAATACATAAATTAAAAAAAGAAAAAACATAAAACCATTACTCCTTTTCTGGATCTGGTGCTAATACAGTAATCACTCAGGGACAATCCTCAGGTAGCTGTCTAAGATCTGAACAAGTGCACTGGAATAAAGACTGCAGGATTATTTGCTTCTCCTAGACTAACAGCTGCCAACAGTCTAAAAGTACCAACGATATAGTGAGGTTTTTTTTTTTTTTTAAACATGTATGAAAGGATAAAGTAAATGACTCATGTTTATTATATTTTAGATGACGCACAAATAATGGGATTAGTGCCAAAGGAGTCAATCAAGTCAACAATAAAAGATCGAGTCTTTTCCAGGTCTAAACATCTAACTAATAGAGCATTAACACTTTTGTGTCAGGCCTATTTTGACGATTAAAGCAGTATTATCTGTAATACAATATAGGAATTATATGGCTAATAGCTGATTCCCATTAATCACTAAAACAGATTATTAGACATCTAAAGAATTATATCTATTCAACCACAAAGTTAATATAATATTAATTGAAAGAACTATTGGACGAACTGTTCACTTCACATACAAAAAACCAGATCTTATCTTTTAAGCAGTAATTTTTCTTAAAAAAGAAAAATGAGGTCAACATTGAGCAGATAGCTCAGTTGATAAATTGTTTGCTGTGCTGAAGCTAAGTTCAGATTCTTAACACCTACATAAAAATGCCGGGCACAGAGAGCTCATGCCTGTAACTTCAGACCTGGAAAGTGGATATTAAGAGAATATGGAGACTGCTGTTCAGTCAGTCTAGCCAATTGACAAGATCTATGTCTAACAAGAGACCTCATTTAATAATATCTTGGAGAATGACAGAGGAGGATACTTAGCAACCATTACTGGCCTGCGGATACATATCTAACATATATACATATATTTAAGGAAAAAAAAAGGTGTTTTAAATCTTTCAAATTTAACATTGCTTTTCAAAAGTAAATGTGGCTGAGGTCAATGCAGATCCATGTTAGGGTAGAATTATCATAGCAATTTTCTATTATAGACTTCATATTGAAAACACACATATCTACACACTTAGCATGCTTAAGATAATATTAAAAATACTCAACAAACTAAGAATTTAAAAAGGCTTGCTCAGATTGGTAAAGGGTATCAGCAAAGTATGGTGAAAGGCTGTTTTCCTTTTGCCATCAGAAGCTTGTAGCTCAGAATAGTACTTTTCTAGCACACTAGCATGCTCAACCCTCTGGGGATATCCCTAGTACTGCCCTTTCCACTGCCATAGCTCTCATTAAATAAAAGTAAGAAAGATAGAAGTCAAGAAAGAAAGAGAGAGAGAGCGCCCATTCAAACTGAAAGGAGAAAATAAAATTTCTATCTAAAGATGACACAACACTGAACATAAAACATTCCAAACTAAACTAAAAAACAATAACTAATGAGTTCAGTGAGACTAAATTATACTAGTATCAACTATAGTTTTATAAATTATGACCTAAACAAAGATGAAATTAAGAAAATAGTTTCATATACAAAAGCATATAAAAGAATAAAAACACTTTAGAATATATTTAACAGAAGCGGTGCAAGTCTTGTATGTGAATATTTAACTAAATTTAAACTAGACTATTTTAGAAAGACATAGTAAAAGTTAGGATTCAACAATCCAAATACAAAGGGTGAGGTTACACAGCACCTCCAGAGATCAAGACCTTAATGGAACAGAAGCCTTCAGTAGCTTCAACAGTAAAAACACAGTGTATCATTTCACATTTAATTTTATAATTTAGAGAGCTTTTTCTACCCATTGAACTTGTAAAGATATCTCCCCTAAAAAAGTGCTAAAGAAAAACAACCAGATTAAAAAGATGATCATTTTTCTGATCACCTTTAGCAAGATTTTGAGATTAAAGAACAGGCTTTTAGATTAAGGAACATACAGACTAACCTGTGAAAGACACTCTGCATATATGGTATTCTTGGTTTTACGACTGCTCATTTTGATTAACTCGAATCCTAAAAAAAAACAAGAAATAAAAATACGGTGAATAAATACTATCTGCTTTATAAGATAATTTAAAAAATACATTTATAGAGTCAAATACAAGTTCTTAAATAAAAAGTGTCTAAAAATTTCAAATGAAAAACCTATAACTGCTTTCATTTGCTCATGAACAAGCTTATTTGGCATTCTCATTGATATGGCTCTCCTGATAATTCCTCTGTTCCCCTTCTCCATAAATGTACAACTCAAATACTTTTCTTTCATACAAAATGTTTCTCCTACCCATCCATCCACTGGAATCATTTTTTACAGGACATCTTCCATTTTTTTGTTCTATTCAAGCACACCACACAACTTACACACTAACATTTAATTAATATCTTAGTTCAAGAAACACAGTATATGGATGAATAAAATGACAGAGACTACCCAGGAATTCAGCAAAGAGAAATACATATTGAAGACAGAATAAGTTTAAATTAGGATAGAACTGAAAAACTTAAATGCCAAAAAGAAAACCAAGGGAAAGTCTTTCTAGTAGAATAGAACAGAAAAAAAACCACATAGTATCAAAACTTAATTAAGACTTGGATGATTCCAGCAAAGAAAATGAGGGGATCGGGGAATGGTGATATCATACTAGAACAGCAGAACATCATGAAAAGATCTAATCTTAAATTGTAGACATAGGTGAAAGAAAAGAACTCAAAAGAAGTAGAATACATCAGATCAAAACACAAACAAAAGACATTATAGAAAATTCCTCCAAATTAAGGAAAGATATACAGACATAAGAAGTATACAGAACACCAAATAATACTAGAAAAGAGGTCCCTATCTCATATTATGGTTAAAACATTAAATAAACAGAACAAAGAGAGGGTACTTGAAGAAACAAACAAATCAAAACAACCACAAGTTAACTATGATGGAAATATACCACAATAATCAATGAAAACTTTTAAAGCCAAAAGAAAAGAATATGGATGTCATCTTATATACTGTAACCACCAAAACTACCTAAAATAGTTGAAGTAGAAAGAAAAGTTTTCAGTGAATGAAGCAAGCTAAAATAATTCACATCCTAAGTCCAATTAGACAACTGTAGGTTGTTGTCAAGATGTAAGTTTTACTGGACACTTAGGGATAGTGTATTAGTCTTAGCACTTGTGCTAATATTACTGGTATCCTGCTCAGAAAGTCAGTCTCTGTGCCTATAAATTTAAGCCTCTTCTCACTCTCTATCAGAATCAGGGTTGTTTGATCTTATGCTGGGGTCCTTGATACATTTGGGGTTGAGTTTGGTGTGTGTTGATAAATATGTATCTATTTGCATTATTCTATATTCAGCCATTAAGTTTGACCAGCACATATGCTGTATTTTCTCCAATGTTGTATTATTAGCTTCTTTGTTAAAAATAAGTTGTCTATAGTTGTATGTACTTAGAAATGGGTCTTAAATTTGACTTCACTGGTCAATGTGTCTGCTTTCATGCCAATACCATACTGTTTGTACTACCTGAAATCTGTGATGATGATACCTCCAGTATTTTTTTTTTTTTTAATTCAGGATTGTTTTGACTATCCTGTTTGTAGGAGTGTGTATGCGCTTCCGTATGAGGCAGAAAATTGTTAATTTAATTTCTGTGAAGAATTGTGTTGGAATTTAGATGAGGACTGTGTTGAATCTGTAGATGGCTTTGGGTAGAATAGCAATTTTCACTATCATAATCTTTTTTTTCTTTCTTTTTTTTTTTTATTGGATGATTTATTTACATTTCCTATGTTGTCCCCCTACCCCATCCCCCACCACCCCCTGGGAACCCCCAATCCCCTCGCCCCTCCTCCTTCTTCTCTGTGGATGTAACCTCTATCTACACCCCCCCACTCCCACCTCCCCACCCTCAAAATTCCCACCCCCTGGGGCATCCAGCCTTCATGAGGTCAAGGTTCTCTTCTTCCACCTATGCCCAGCAGGGCCCTCCACTTTTACATATTCAGCTGAAGCCCTGGATCCCCCCCTAAGTGCTCCCAGGCTGGTGGTTTAGACCCTGGGAGCTGTGGTTGGTTGGTATTGTTGCTCTCCTCATAATCTTAACAATCTATGAGCATGAAGATCCTTTGATCTTCTGGAGTCTTTCTTCTTCAATTTCTTTCATCAGTGTCTTATTACACAACTTGTTCAGTTAAAATTTCTTAACTGTGCTGATAGTACTACGAAAGCCAAAGATTTAATGAAAATCCCAAGAGCAAACAGGAGAAATCATCTTTTGAATTATTGGCCAGGGCCTTCTAGGAGATTCTCAAAACAAACATCCTACTGCTGTTTTTCTTGGTGATGCCAGGAGGCAGAAGGCCCTGAGGAAGAAACAGGGCTCAGAGAGCTCTGAGCTTGAATTGACCCGAATATCCTTTCCCTGGTGACTAGTATTCATAGTACCAGAAGGTGCCATGCAAGATTCCAAAGGAGGGAACAACCAACAGTTCTACCCAGCTATGACACCTATGAACTGTGTCAATGACCAGCACGGCCTAATAACTCTACAAGTGCAGTAGTGTCACACATATTTTGGTGGTTACCATCTAACTAGCTCTCTAACCAGACTTAAGACTCACTCAACAAAGGGAAACCATTCCTAGTACTAGAAACCTAGTAACTATGCAGATATAGTGAAGGATATATAATCATTAATTTAATAAACCAGCTGTCTTAGTTACAGTTTCCATTGCTAAAAAGAAACACCATGACCAAGGCAATTCTTATAAAGAACAACATTTAATTGGGGCTGGCTTACAGGTTCAGTCCATTATTATCAAGGTGGGAGCATGGCAGCATCCATGCTGGCATGGCATGGAAGGAGTTGAGAGTTCTACATCTTGATCTGACTGCATCCAGGAGAACAGTCTTCCAAGGAGCTAGGAGGAGGCTCAAAGCCCCACCCCCATAGTGATATACTTCCTCCAACAAGGCCACACCTCCTAACAGTGCCACTTCCTAGTGAAGTATATTCAAACCACCATACCAACAGAATCCCTAACAATCTAAACGCTTGTTTTTATTCCCAAAGATAAGAATAGTTTTCACAACTCGTTAAGCCTGTGTACCCAGATCGTGGCCTACGATGAGCCTAGGACTGGTGTGGAATCAGCTTGGCTCCAAGTGAGTGCCAAACATATGGAGGGGCCAATCTAGATACCTCATTAGTATGGAGAGGTTTTTATGCTCCATGACCAGTTATCATGGTCCTCTTAGTGGGGTATAGTAGTGTGACGTGCTCCAGGATAGGAACCTGGTTAGGAGCCAGTTCAAACTCCTGCCATTCTCATACTTGCCAGTTCTTCTGTCTGCTCCACAAAATTTCACTTTGAATCATCTGGAGACTACAACTATAGAAAATCATAACCAATCAAAATACAGAGTTGTGAAGCCCAGTTCCAATTAATACACATATAAAATATTCCAGGAACCTAAGAGAGGTGGAAAGATTGTAAGATCCAAACTATCAGGGAGTCTGCTGTAACACTGTCTCCTAGTAACATCAGAAGCTATAACCATAAAATCTAACCAACAAGACTGTCCAAACGGAAACTGAATTAGGATGACACCAATGGACATTCCAAACTGGACTTCGAAAGGCCAACAAGGCCTCAACACTACACAAAGAAATATAGTTAACTCTACTAGTTAACTATAAAGTTAACTAGTTGCCAGTGGGAGAGATGATTACAGTGGTTTGAATAAGAATGGCACTATCAACTCATAAAGGTGTGGCCTTGTTAAAGGAAATCTGTCACTGAGTGGGTTGGCTTTGAGGTTTCAAAAGTCCAGGTCAGGCCCGCGCTCGCACCTGCGCTCGTGCTCATGCTCTCTTGCTCCTGTTCTCTCTCTCTGTCTCTCTCTCTCTCTCTCTCTCTCTCTCTCTCTCTCTCTCTCTCTCCTTCCCTCCCTCCCTCCCTCTCTCCCCCCCTCCCCCTCCCTCCTTCCCCCCCATCTCCTCTCTCTTAACTTCTTAGCCTGTGGATTAATATGTAGTGCTTAGCTACTGTTCTGGACTGCCATGATAAAAATGGGGTAAATTTCTGTGATTGTAAGGAAGCCCCCAATTAAATGCTTTCTTTTTTAAATATTGCCTTGGTTATGGTGTCTCATCACAGTAACAGTAACCCTAACAAAGACAGTAGTCTTCCCCAGGTAGGGGCATACTAAATGGTCATCCAGTGCCAAATGGTTAACCTTAAAAACATAAATACAAGTAACATTTTTATGGACCCAACAGGCTATATTTAGGGACATACATGTATGCACTAAGAATTAGTGAAAAAACAAAAGACGCCATGAATTTGGCGGAGGATTGGAAAGGGTATATGGGAGGCTTTGGAGGGAGGAAAGGGAGAAATGGTGTAACTAAATTATAATCTCAATAAGAAACAAAAAAAGAAAGAAAATTCGAATACTCTGAAAGCAATTGTTAGTGCAAGAGTACTAAGGTAACAAGGTAAAGAATTTCTTCCTACATGGAGAAGCACTGGCAGATACTTAAGATCTCAATGTAATAGAGCAAGAGCAGAAACTAGATTAAAGATGGTTTCAAGTCACTGCTGAAAGCTCTCAGTGTAAAGACATCAGCCAGGCGTGGTGGCATACACCTTACTTCCATCACTAGGTAGGCTGAAGCAGGTGGATCCCTGAACTTAAGGATAGCCTGGTCTTCAGAGGGACTTCCAGGATAGCCAAGGCTACAGAGAAACTCGTCTTGAAAAACCAAAACCAAACCAAACCAAGAACTAAACAACTAAACAAACAAACAAACAAACAACCTTATAGAAAAACCAAGCCTTTGGGAAGTCTAAACACTTTCCTAAGCTTATCTGCAGAAATTCTACTAATTTATCATTCAGACAGGCATATTCTCTAGGAGTAAAATATTCACAGAATATGTTACAGTTCTTAACAAGATTTGTTTTCAGAAAAAGTACTTTAACAGTAATTATAACTAGAACTTTATCAGAG